CAGATGGGGAGACTGAGGCCGAAGAGGACACGGCCGGCCGGCCCAGCGGGCCCAGTCCCAGCGTGGCCACAGCTGGCAGCACCACCATGGCAGCCCCTCGGCTGTGCAGTCGGGGCCTGGCCTGGGGGGTCTGGTCTGTGTCCTCGCCCATGTCCACCTATCTCCCGGAGGCCTCAGGAGCCCTCCCTCAGGGGCTTCTGGCCGGCGAGTGGGGCAGAAATGGGCGAAGAAACCGGGGTGCAGGCGGGTCAGGGCTACGACCTGGGCGGAGTCCCAGGGGTCCCTCCTGCTGCTCCGGTTTGCACACTGTGAGTGAGCCCAGGCTGCCTGGCCCTGAGCGGCGGCCGCCGCCCGCCTGCCCCCCAGGTCCCCGGGGCCCGAGCAGAGGTGGTGCGGCTGCTGAACCTGGGAGCGGTCAGGTGCCGGCCACCAGGAGCCAGGCCGGGCCCCCTGAGGCCGCCGTCCAGCAGGGAGGCACCGGGCCGGCGAGGCGGGGCCCTCGGTGCAGAGGGTGCGCGGGTTCGAGACCTCCTGCTCCGAAGTCCTTCCCGCCTCTTCCTGGATCCCCGCAGAGGCCCAGCGGCCGAGGCTCTGGAGAGGCTGAGTGGCGGACGGAGGTCAGAACCGGACCTCCAACTGGACCGCAGCTGGACGGCCCCTGCAGGAGCCGCTGGGCCTGGGCTCCGAGGACCACCCCGCCCGGCCCTGCCCCCTCTCCGCGGCTGGAGGCCCCGCCCGTCAGGGCACCGGCCAGCTTCCTCCCCTGCAGAGGCCCCTCGCACCGTCTGCCCCCGTGGCGGCAGCAGGGCCTGTGCTGCCCCCTCCCCGCGTCCGGCCGCTGCCCTCAGAGCAGGTCAGGGGCGCGCTCGGCGCTGCACCGAGCCTCGTGTGCCTGTGCCATCGGGGTCACCGTGAGCCAGCCACACGCCGCGCACACAGGCGAACACGGGCGTGCACGCACAGGCGAACACGGGCGTGCTCACGCAGGCGAACACGGGCGTGCACGCACAGGCGAACACGGGCGTGCACGCACAGGCGAACACGGGCGTGCTCACGCAGGCGAACACGGGCGTGCACGCACAGGCGAACACGGGCGTACACGCACAGGCGAACACGGGCGTGCTCACGCAGGTAAACACGGGCGTGCACGCACAGGCGAACACGGGCGTGCACGCACAGGCGAACACGGGCGTGCTCACGCAGGTAAACACGGGCGTGCACGCGCAGGCGAACACGGGTGTGCTCACGCAGGTGAACACGGGCGTGCACGCACAGGTAAACACGGGCGTGCTCACGCAGGCGAACACGGGTGTGCTCACGCAGGTAAACACGGGCGTGCACGCACAGGCGAACACGGGCGTGCTCACGCAGGTAAACACGGGCGTGCTCACGCAGGCGAACACGGGCGTGCTCACGCAGGTAAACACGGGCGTGCACGCGCAGGCGAACACGGGCGTGCACGCACAGGCGAACACGGGCGTGCACGCACAGGCGAACACGGGTGTGCTCACGCAGGTAAACACGGGTGTGCTCACGCAGGTGAACACGGGCGTGCACGCGCAGGCGAACATGGGCGTGCTCAAGCAGGCGAACACGGGCGTGCACGCACAGGTAAACACGGGCGTGCACGCGCAGGGCCCTCCCCGCACTGTGATGCCAGCTGCCGGGTGGGCGGAGCCACGGCGAACACAGCACAGCGTGGCGCTCGGTAAGGCCTGTCCGTGTGGCAAGGCTGGCCGTGGTGGGCCCCCTCTGGCCTCCGGCTCTGGGACACTCCGGGGACCCGCCCTCCCCCAGCCCAGCTCACCCTGATCTCCGTCTCCCAGCCCGTCCGGGGCCCCGGGCCTCACCGCCCTCTCCTCCCGCACTGCACACCGGCCGCCCCGTCAGACAGGGGTTTTCCCAGCCCCACACGCCTGGCTTTTCCCCGTTCCCCCCACCGGGCACGCCCTTCCCAGTGCCTCCTCCGAGAAGCCCTCCTCCCAGCGCCCCCCAGAGGCCTCAGTGTGCCCGGCCTGCGGCTCAGGGAGCCGGTTGGCCCCGAGGAGGCGGGGCCGGGCCAGGGCTTGGTGCTCCTGCCCCAGCCGCCCCAGCTCCCCCTCTGCTGGCATCAGGACACTCCCGCCTCCCGGGCCTGTTCTTGGCAGTAAGTACCAGCCAGACCTGACTGCTCCCTCCAGCTTCACCCACCACCGGCCCCGCGGAAGCAGGAGGCAGGAGGAGGGGGAGGTGAGCAGCCAGCCCCCCCCCGCCTCCCCCACCTGCCCTCCCGGCCTGGCGCTGGAGACTCCCCCCGCCGGCCCCGTGCCCCCCGCCGGCCCTGTGCCCCCCGCCGGCCCGGTGCCCTCTGCCAGCCCCGTGCCCCCCACCAGCCCTGTGCCCCCCTCTGGCCCCGTGCCCCCTGCCAGCCCTGTGCCCCCCACCGGCCCGTGCCCCCCACCAGCCCCGTGCCCCCCGCCAGCCCCGTGCCCCCCGCCAGCCCTGTGCCCCCCGCCAGCCCCGTGCCCCCCGCCGGCCCCGTGCCCCCCGCCAGCCCTGTGCCCCCCGCCGGCCCTGTGCCCCCCGCCGGCCCTGTGCCCCCCACCAGCCCCGTGCCCCCCGCCAGCCCCGTGCCCCCCGCCAGCCCTGTGCCCCCCACCGGCCCTGTGCCCCCCGCCAGCCCCGTGCCCCCCACCGGCCCTGTGCCCCCCGCCGGCCCCGTGCCCCCCGCCGGCCCTGTGCCCCCCGCCAGCCCTGTGCCCCCCGCCAGCCCTGTGCCCCCCACCAGCCCTGTGCCCCCCGCCGGGCAGGCCGTGGGAAGCAGCCGGGAGCCCTGGGCTGGGACACCTGATGCTGCCGCCACGCCCCTGCCCAGAGCCGGCTGCATGGCGGCCGGGCGGCTCACGCTCAGTCCTGGGGGGGACCCCGCTCTGACTGTGGGCGCTGTTCAGGCTGCACGCTGCCTCTCGCCCAGGCCCAGGCTGAGAGGTGCAGGGGCCCAGGCTCCGCTCAGCCTCGCCGCCTGGGCCTCTGCCTTCCCTCCGCCTCCGGGCACTTGCCTGGCCCTCCCGCGTCTGCCAGCCTCGCCCCGTCCCTCCGGGCTCTCTGCTCTGCCGGCTGCAGGTCACACGGGGCGGGGCGGGGGGGGGGGGGCCTTGGGTCCTCACACCTGAGCCCGCGGCCTGGCTCTGAGCTGCTGGCCGGGGAGGCAGCAGGAAGGAACGCCGCCTGCAGGGAGCTGGGTCTGGGTGCTGCCCGGGTCCCTGTGGCTGGCAGCGCCCGACCCCGGCCCCTGGCCCCCGACCCCCGACCCCCCGGCCCCCGGCCTCCAGCCCCCGACCCCAGCCCCCGGCCCCCGGCCCCCCAGCCCCCGACCCCGGCACCCCAGACCCCAGTCCCCAGACCCCGGCCCCCGACCCCTGGCCCCCGGCCCCGGCCCCGGCCCTCGGCCCCCGGCCCCTGGCCCCCGACCCCGGCCCCGGCCCCCAGCCCCCAGCCCCCGGTCCCCGGCCTCCGGCCCTCAGCCCCCGGCCCCCAGCCCCCGGCCCCGGCCCCTGGCCCCGGCCCTCGGCCCCCGGCCCCCGGCCCACGGCCCCTGGCCCCCGGCCCCTGACCCCGGCCCCCCAGTCCCCAGTCCCCAGTCCCCAGCCCCAGCCCCCCGGCCCCCGACCCCGGCCCCCGGCCCCTGACCCCGGCCCCCGGCCCCCCGGCCCCCGGCCCCCAGTCCCCAGTCCCCAGCCCCCAGTCCCCAGCCCCAGCTCCCCGGCCCCCGACCCCGGCCCCCGGCCCCCGGCCCCCGGCCCCCGGCCCCGGCCCCTGACCCCGGCCCCCAGCCCCCTGGCCCCGGCCCCCCAGTCCCCAGTCCCCAGGCCCCGACCCCCCGGCCCCCCAGCCCCCGGCCCCCGACCCCCCGGCCCCCCAGCCCCCGGCCCCCAGCCTCCCAGCCCCCAGCCCCCGGCCCCCCAGTCCCCAGCCCCAGCCCCAGCCCCCCGGCCCCCGGCCCCCCAGCCTCCCAGCCCCCAGCCCCCGGCCCCCCAGCCTCCCAGCCCCCAGCCCCCGGCCCCCGGCCCCCCAGCCTCCCAGCCCCCCGGCCCCCGGCCCCCCAGCCTCCCAGCCCCCAGCCCCCGGCCCCCGGCCCCCCAGCCTCCCAGCCCCCCGGCCCCCGGCCCCCCAGCCTCCCAGTCCCCAGCCCCAGCCCCCCGGCCACCCAGAGGGACCTCTTGAAGCAAGTGGCTCTGGTGGCCCCAACCCGGGGCGTCACACGTGTGACGGGAAAACGGTGATCCTGCCACTCACACAGCCTCCTGGGGTGGGGGGGGACATTCCCAGAAATGCTCCCGTCTCCCTGGCCCTCCTCTGGGCTCTGTGCCCCCCCTCCATCCCTCTCATCCTTCCCAGCCTGCCCCCCCCTCCCCGCCCCCTCTGCACCCCACGTCGGGCCTGGACCCAGTGCTCTCAGAGGTCAGAGGTCAGAGGCCCCGCCGCCCCTGGCGACGGGAGAAACGGAGCCAGGCCAGTCCGGCAAAGTCAGGCGGAGGGAGGAGGCTGGCGGGGTGCCCGGGGGCGGGCCGCAGGGGGAAGGGGTGTGTGCCAGGCTGGGCCAGTGAGAGCGAGGCGGCCACGGACACGGGGTGCCCCCGAGAGAGTGGGTGTCCCGGTCCCCCCGGGTGGGCTGGAGTCTCAGGTCTCCCTGGGAGGGGACCCGCACCCAGCCCCGATGGGCCCGGGTCAGATTCACCGGGCGGCTCCGCCCCGGACGGTGCCAGGCCGAGCCCCGGTCACCGGGCCAGAAAGCGGCCCTGCCCCTCGAAGCAGCTTCATGGTGGGGTGCACTGGGCCTCAGGGCCCCGCACCCCCGCACGGGGACCCCAATCCACAGGCAGGAGGCACCCACTGCGGGCAGTGAGCACACCCCGGCCTGCCCTGAGCACCCCCAGGGAAGGTGTGAGGGCGAGACCGGCCCGGCCGCCCAGGTGCTGGGCCAGGTGGGTCCCAGGCACCCGCCCGCCTGCAGGCCCCGCAGGCCCGGGGCCAGCTCCGCCTGCGCCCGGTGACTCAGCACCTCGCCGGCACCGCGGACTTTGCCCTGCCAGCCTGCGACTGATCCCTGCAGGCTCCCAGGATGCAGGGTGCCGGGGCCCCCGGCGGCCAGGGCCGGGCCCCCTCCAGGCCGGGCGCCCTGAGCCGGCCCCGGGTCCTCCTGCTCACCTACCTGCTGACCACGCTGGACCTCACCTGCCTCTTCATGCAGTTCTCCGTGCTGCCGGTGAGCCCCGCCCGGCCGGCCCCGGGCTCAGCCGCTCCGCACCCCCTGTGCACCCGCAGGCGGGGCCTGACGCCCGGACCCTCTCGCCGGGCGAGGGACCCGGGACCGGCCTCCTGGCGCCCCATTAGCACGTCCTGGGCTCAGACGCACGGCCTGCCACTGCCCTCCGACCACTCCCCCGGGCCGGCCGCTGGGCTCTGCCTGTGGGCCCGCCCCTCCCGCCCCACACTCACACCCCCGCTCACCCACTCCGCGCCTCCTCGCCACACTCCTCTGCCCAGGCCACCCAGGGGCCCTCCCACAGGCTCACCCCGCCAGCGGCAGCCCGGGGCTTTGGGGTGCCAGTGCCCCTGTCTGGCCTGCCAGTCCCCGCCCGGGCCTGGGGGGAACGGGCATCGCCAGTGCCAACATCCTGGCACTGCCAGGGGCTCTGGGGCAGCGTGAGCTCGACACCCCCCCTCAGGCCCAGCTGCCTCCGCCCACGGCCCCATCCTCAGCATGGGGTGGCCGGGCAGGCCCACGTCCTCACCGCAAAACGGGGCCCAGCCACCGGCCTCGGGGGCTGGTGGGGAGCGATGGGTGCAGTTAGAACCCCAGGAGAGCTGGTGCCCAGCACAGCAGCTGCTGGGGCGGGGCTGACGGCCAGGAGACTGGGGTTCCCCCCCCCGTTCCTGGGCGACACTGGTCACTGCCCTCCGCTCCCCAGACAGGCCTCAGTGAGAGGGGGCGGGCGGGGCGCCGCCCGGAGCTCAGCGGGCACTCGGCTCACCGCAGCTCTGCGCCCCGGGGCAGACCCCGGCCCCTCCAACACCCCCCCCAACGCCCGCCCCCCGTGTCCCAGTACCTGCTCACCGCAGCTCTGCGCCCCGGGGCAGACCCCGGCCCCTCCAACGCCCCCCCCCCCGTGTCCCAGTACCTGCTCACCGCAGCTCTGCGCCCCGGGGCAGACCCCACCCCTCCAACGCCACGCCCCCAACGCCCGCCCCCCATGTCCCAGTACCTGCTCACCCGCAGCTCTGCGCCCCGGGGCAGACCCCCGCCCCTCCAACACCCCCCCCAACGCCCGCCCCCCGTGTCCCAGTACCTGCTCACCGCAGCTCTGCGCCCCGGGGCAGACCCCGGCCCCTCCAACACCCACCCCGTGTCCCAGTACCTGTCCCGCAGGCTGGGCCTGGACTCCGTGGCCTTCGGCTACCTGCAGACGGTCTTCGGCGCGCTCCAGCTGCTGAGCGGGCCCATGTTCGGCAGGTACGGTGGGCCACCGTCCCCCCGAGGCCACAGGCTGCCCTACCAGGCCCCCCGGGGGGGCGCCAGCTCCCGTTCCACAGAGGGGCCCACTGAGGCACCCCGACCCCAGGGTGCCCCCGGGACTCCCACCAGAGAAGAGAGGATCTCACGGGGAGACTCGGGGACCCCCTGGCCTCGCCCTCCCGCTCACTCCTTGGGGTCCGCAGGGAGGGACTCCCCCGGCAGCGAACGCCGCAGACAGGCGGGGCGGCCAGAGGGGGCCCACAGGACAGGCTCTGCAGAACGCACACACCGCCCCCTCCATTCCGCGTCTCCCGCTCAGGGGCCGGGGCGCCGGGCAGGGCCAGGCCCCTCTGGAAAGGTGGGGTCCCAGGCCAGCCCGGGCGCCCCCAGGGGGCGGGGGGCGGGCAGAGGAGGGTCTCAGGTGCGGGCCTCCAGGTTTGCAGACCAGCGCGGGGCGCGGGCCGCCCTCACCGCCTCCTTCCTGGCCGGCTCGGCACTCTACCTGCTCCTGGCGGCCGCCTGCAGCCCCAGCCTGCCAGGCACCGCCCTGCTCTTTGCCTCCCGCCTGCCCGCCCTGCTGCTGCACACGCTGCCAGGTGGGCGCTGACCGGGGGCGCTGAGAGCGGACAGGAGGGGGGTGGCCTGTGGGGGTCGGGGAGCAGGGGGGGGTGGCCTGTGGGGGTCGGGGAGCAGGGGGGGTGGCCTGTGGGGGGTCGGGGAGCAGGGTGGGGTGGCCTGTGGGGGGTTGGGGAGCAGGGTGGAGTGGCCTGTGGGGGGTCGGGGAGCAGGGGGGGGTGGCCTGTGGGGGCTCGGGGAGCAGGGTGGGGTGGCCTGTGGGGGGTCGGGGAGCAGGGGGGGGTGGCCTGTGGGGGCTCGGGGAGCAGGGTGGGGTGGCCTGTGGGGGGTCGGGGAGCAGGGGGGGTGGCCTGTGGGGGTCGGGGAACAGGGGGGTTGGCCTGTGGGGGTCGGGGAGCAGGGTGGGGTGGCCTGTGGGGGTCGGGGAGCAGGTGGGGTGGCCTGTGGGGGTCAGGGAGCAGGGGGGGTGGCCTGTGGGGGTCGGGGAGCAGGTGGGGTGGCCTGGCCCCCTCACGCCCCCGTCCCCCCAGCCGCCCAGATGGTGGTGGCGGACCTGTCGGCCCCGGCGGAGCGGCCGGCAGCCCTGGGCCGCCTGGGCCTCTGCTTCGGCGTCGGCACCATCCTGGGCTCGCTGCTCGGCGGGACCCTGAGCGCCACCTGCGGGTGAGTGGACGGCGCGGCCGGGGGGGCGGGCGGCAGCCGGCAGGGGGTGCCATCCCCGTCCCCGCCTCAGGGGCTGCAGGGGGCGGGGGACGGGGTGGGGGCAGCCCAGCCGGACAGGGTCGCAGGGTCACAGGGTCGGGAACCGGACGGGGTGCTGGGCCGGGAGCCCCGGACGGGAGGGAGCTGGTGGGCGGCTGCTGACCACGGGAATGAGGGCTGTCCCCTCCGCACGCACACACACACGTGCACACACACACACACACGGACACGTGCGTGCACACGCACACGTGTGCACACATGCACACACATGCACGCACACGTGTGCACACACACATACACACACAAATACGCACACACACACACGCACACATGCGCACCGGCTTTGCACCCGGAGAGCCCAGCCAGCAGTCCCCGCAGGCGGCCACAGGGACCGTCCAGGCCGCACCCCCACCCTGTGAGGGACTGCCTCTGCCGGCGCCCTCCCGGGAGAAGAGCTTCACCGTGGCCGGGGTGCCTGGCCCTGCAGAGGCCGCGGGCGAGCAGCCCAGTGTCCCCCTGCGCCCCGCCCCCCGCCCCAGGAGCCCCCCCGCCCAAACCAGCCTTCCTCCAGGAGGGGCTGACCTCTGACCTCCGACCCACCTCCATCCAGCCCCGGTTTGGCTTCGGTCTGGGTGGTGGCTGAGCTGCCCAGGGCTGCCTCCAGGAGGCAGATGTCCTGGTGTCGGAACTACACACACACACACTGAACATGCTCCCACACACATGCACACACCCACCTTACACGCTCTCGCACACAGGACAGCGGGTCTCTGCTTGGCTTCTGGCTGACCCTGACGCGTGGCCCCCAGTCTTGGCGGACCCTGTGCCAGCCCCGAGGCCCCGGGGGGGGGGGGCCGGGGGCCGTTTCCCCAGGCCACGCGCCCACCATGCGGGCGGCTGGTGATGGCCGAGCCCGGGTGCGACCAGGGAATGGTGGCCCCCTGGGGTGCCCCCAGCATTGCATCGGGGCCTGGGTTCGGGAGTCCCCTCTGCTGAGCCTCCTCCTCCGTTCTGTTCCTTGCAATGCTTGCTGCACACCCACTCGGCGCCCGGGGACCCAGGTCCTGGGACCGAGCGGCCGGCAGACCGGCTGTGGCTCAGACAGCCCTGACTGTGACATCCCTGCAGGCCAGGCCGGGGAGCGGGGTCAGGGCCGCCTGGACAGCGGTCACCTCGCTGCAGGGGGTGCCGGCCGCATGGCTCCGTGGCTGAGCGTCACGGTTCAGTCCCCTGCCAGGCGCACGCCCGGGTGTGACCACCTCCCTCACCGGGCGGGAGGCAGCCAGTCCGGCTCTCCCTCATCACAGCATTTCCATCTCTCTCCCTCTCCCCCTCCCTTCCTCTCTGACATCAAGACAAACGTTAAAAGAGGAAGGTGAGGGCAGAGGCAGGAGGCGTGTGACTGGCGTGGAGGGAGGAGGGCGGGGGGTGGGGGGGGGAAGGCCCGGAGCCCGGGCAGGCGTGAGCGTGCGTGAGCTTGCGTGAGCGGGCGTGAGCGGGCGTGAGCGTGCGTGAGCGGGCGTGAGCGGGCAGGTGCAGCCGGCTGCGTGCTGAGAACTGGGGGGAGGGGCAGAGCACGGAGCAGCAGGGGCTGCCGGCTGCCCCGGGCAGGACAGGGTGGCCTGGGCCAGAGCGGCTGGGGGTGGGGTGCGGGGAGTGGGGAGGGGGCAGAGGGCCGGTTCGGCCCGGTTTTGCCCATGGGGCGGGGATGGGGGGTGCATGTGTGGGGGCCGGTGGTGGAGGGAGTCGGGCGGGCGGAGCCGGCTCCGGGTGGCTCTGAGCCCTGGGAGCCGGTTCGGGTGGTGGTGGTGGGGTCACTGCGGAGGCACCGGAGGGCCGAGGAGAAGGTCCATGGGAGCCGCGAGGCAGGGGGTCACGGAGGGGAGCCCCGGATTCTGCCCGACAGGCAGCGCTCGGCCGTGCTGGGCTGAGCCGGGGTCCAGGGAAGCAGGCCCCCAGTGCCAGGAGAGAAAGGGGTGCAGGGCTGAGAGCCGGGCAGGAGGCCCGCTGCACTGCTCCCTCCGGTCCCTCAGCCCAGCGCCTGCTCCCTCTGGCTCCCTCCGTGGCTGCCAGGTGGTCTCCCCTGGGCAGCGCCCCCGTGCCAGCCCTGCCACCCGCTTCCTCTCCAGCCCAGCTGCTGGCCCGGGGGCCAGGTCTCTCTCCCTGCCAGCGGCTTCCAGAACATTCCATCCGCTTCCCTCTTTCATCCTGAGATCTAAGGCGCTTTATGTCCTGGGAGTTTCCTTTGATGGCGGGAGGCAGGCTCCCGGTGGAGCGCCCAGGCCTTACCCAGGGCCCAGGGAACCGGCTCCAGGTGCCTGATGCCCGTGGCCAGGGCTGGCACCCCCCTCCCAGCCCCCTCCTCACCCCCCCCCCCGAAAGGCCCAGCCACCCCGCCTCCTCCTCGGGAGGGGGGGAGGAGGCGGGCTAGGCCGGCCGGGCTGTGTGCGGGTGGGCGGGCGCTGGCATAGGCGGGCGCTGGCATAGGCGGGCGCTGGCATAGGCGGGCGCTGGCATTACTGGTTTGGCTCAGGGGGAGCTCGGGCCGGAGGCTGGTCCCTGGTGGGGGGGGGGGGCAGGGACAGCTCTGGGATCCGGCTCTGTGCCCAGCCGACGTCGAAAGCCGGCAGATGCCGCCGGCCACGGTCTCGGCCGGGAGAGGGAGAGCGTGGGGCGGGTGGCGTCGGCCACGGGCCACGGGCCACGGGCCACGGGCCACGGGCCACGGCGGAGGGGCTGGGCCCACGTGCCCGTACGGCGGCGAGCGACCCAGCTCCGACCGGCTGCCCGGGGCCAGGGAGCACCGGCTCCACCAGGAGGCAGAGCCGGCCCTCCTGGAAGCCGGCCCGCCCGGTGGCTGGCGAAGGCGTGGGAAACCCTTATCTCGCGACAGGTTTCCGCCCGGCAACACCCGGCTTCCCCTGCCGCTGCCAAGCCGGCATCCGGCTGTCCTGCCGGCCTCCGGGCAGGAGTGACTCACCCACAGCCAGGCCACCTGCCTGCCTGGTGCTGGGTGGCTCACCGCGGCCGTGCCAGGCTGTGCCTCCAGCTTGGGTGCCAGGCCTCACACAACCGGGGTGCCAGCCCCTCAGACAACCGGGGTGCCAGGCCTAAGACAATTGGGGTGCCAGCCCTCAGACAGCCAGGGTGCCAGCCCCTCATATAACCCGGGTGCCAGGCCTAAGACACCTGGGGTGCCAGCCCCTCATATAACCCGGGTGCCAGGCCTCGCACAACCGGGGTGCCAGGCCTCAGACAGCCGGGGTGCCAGCCCCTCATATAACCCGGGTGCCAGCCCTCAGACAGCCGGGGTGCCAGCCCCTCATATAACCCGGGTGCCAGCCCTCAGACAGCCGGGGTGCCAGCCCCTCATATAACCCGGGTGCCAGGCCTAAGACACCTGGGGTGCCAGCCCTCAGACAGCCGGGGTGCCGGGTGCTGGGTGTGCAATCAAGGGCGGGAGGGCAGGGTGAGGGGCTGGGGGTCGGGCGTCCCCGGGGGAGGCTGGGGTGCAGGGCTCCAGGCCGGGTGAGGGTGTGGGCGCCCGGGGGGCCTGTGGGTGCAGTGAGGGGGCGGCACAGAGGGCCGGGAGCGGGCTGCCACGTGGGGGCTGTGTGTGGACCTGGCGCTGGAGGAGGGAGTCGCCTCCCCCTGGGGCCCTCCCTCCACGGTCCGGCCTGGAGTTCCAGGCGGTGACCCCGTCCCAGCTGACCCCCGCCTGCCCTCCGCTGGGAGGGGGGACCCCAGGCCCCCTGCAGCCAGGCCAGGGGCCCGGCACTGCCCGCCCTCAGGCCTCGGCCCCGCTGGGGGGCAGCTGGCTCCACGGCGACCGGCCCTGGAGCGGTCACTGGGGCAGGCGGCCAGGCCCCGCCCTCCGGACTGTCCTGTGGGCCCCAAGGAGCCTCGGACAGCAGGCAGCCCCCGGAGACCGGTGCAGCCTTGGGGGTCCCGGGAGGGAAAGCAGGCCTGACCCCGCCCCTCCTCTGTGTCTGAGGAGGGAGGTCCCCCTTCCGTGGCGTCCGAGAGGCTGTCTGTGCAGCCTCCTGTCCGGCGATGGACAGTCGTGGGGAAGGCGCTGCCCGGCAGCCGGCACCCACCTGTCGAGGCCCCTGAGCCGGACCCATCCGGGCGGCCCTGGGTCTGAGCTCCGGGAGGTCCCAGCACACTGCCCTGGGCGCCCGAGTCCCTCTGAGCAAAGGCCCGGCTGTCCCTCCTTCCGGCTCCGCATCAGCCTGGGGCCGGGCCTCTGAGGTGGGGGTCCCGGCCCCTCTGTCTCCGCCACCCGAGAGGCATCATCGGGGCCCCAGAAGCGGCCTGGCCCCCGCCCCGACCCTGCTTGTCACCAGCCCCCAAAGCAGCCGTCTGAGGGCCGCTCTGCCCCCACGTTCCCCCTGCATCCGGCAGGGAAAGCAGGCCTGACTCCGGCCCTGCAGGGGCATCTGCCCCGAGTCTCTGGGGCAGCGTCCGGTGTCCCTGCCCGGTCACAGGCCGGCCCCTGCGGGCCACTCCGGGTCCAGCCTGGACCTGCAGCCGCCAGGCCACAGAGCGGCCGCGGTGGCCGGGCAGGGGGAGCCTGGGCAGTGGCCTCGTGGGCAGGGGTGTAGGTAGAGGGGCAGAGCCAGGCCCATGTGGGCGGGAGGGGTCAGGCTGCACCCGGGTGAGCCGGGCAGGTCCCGGCCGGAGGAACGAGGGGGGCCGGGAGCTCGTCCCCACTGGCTTCCCTCTTGGTGTGTGTGTGCCGTTTGTGTGTGTGCATGTGTGTGTGCAGTTTGGGGGGGTCTGACACTTGCACAGTTGGGGGGGAGGGTGGGGCGCCCCTCTGACCTCCGTGGGGAGCTGAGGGCAGCTGGGGGGAGGCTGCCTGTGGGGGCGCAGGGGCGCCGCTGAGGCCACACACCTGGCACCGCGTCACTGGCTCCTCAGCCACAGCCGGACGGCCGTGAGGTCATCAGGGCCGTGAGGTCAGGAGGGCTGTGGGGTCAGGAGGGCCGTGAGGTCATCAGGGCCGTGAGGTCATCAGGGCCGTGTGGTCAGGAGGGCCGTGGGGTCAGGAGGGCCGTGGGGTCAGGAGGGGTATGAGGTCAGGAGGGCCGTGGGGTCAGGAGGGCGGTGGGGTCAGGAGGGCCGTGGGGTCAGGAGGGCCGTGGGGTCATCAGGGCCGTGAGGTCAGGAGGGCCGTGGGGTCAGGAGGGCGGTGGGGTCAGGAGGGCGGTGGGGTCAGGAGGGCCGTGGGGTCAGGAGGGCCGTGGGGTCAGGAGGGCCGTGGGGTCAGGAGGGCCGTGGGGTCAGGAGGGCCGTGGGGTCAGGAGGGCCGTGAGGTCAGGAGGGCCGTGGGGTCAGGAGGGGTATGAGGTCAGGAGGGCCGTGGGGTCAGGAGGGCGGTGGGGTCAGGAGGGCCGTGGGGTCAGGAGGGCCGTGGGGTCAGGAGGGGCGGTGGGGTCAGGAGGGCCGTGGGGTCAGGAGGGCCGTGGGGTCAGGAGGGCCGTGAGGTCAGGAGGGCCGTGGGGTCAGGAGGGCGGTGGGGTCAGGAGGGCCGTGGGGTCAGGAGGGCCGTGGGGTCAGGAGGGCCGTGGGGTCAGGAGGGCCGTGGGGTCAGGAGGGCCGTGGGGTCAGGAGGGCCGTGGGGTCAGGAGGGGTCGTGGGGTCAGGAGGGCCGTGGGGTCAGGAGGGCCGTGGGGTCAGGAGGGCCGTGAGGTCAGGAGGGCCGTGGGGTCAGGAGGGCCGTGGGGTCAGGAGGGCGGTGAGGTCAGGAGGGCCGTGGGGTCAGGACGGCCATGAGGTCATCAGGGCGGTGAGGTCAGGAGGGCCGTGGGGTCAGGAGGGCGGTGGGGTCAGGAGGGCGGTGGGGTCAGGAGGGCAGTGGGGTCAGGAGGGCCATGAGGTCAGGAGGGCGGTGGGGTCAGGAGGGCCGTGGGGTCGGGAGGGCCGTGGGGTCAGGAGGGCGGTGGGGGTCGGGAGGGCCGTGGGGTCAGGAGGGCCGTGGGGTCAGGAGGGCCGTGGGGTCAGGAGGGTCGTGAGGTCAGGAGGGCCGTGAGGTCAGGAGGGCCGTGGGGTCAGGACGGCCATGAGGTCATCAGGGCGGTGAGGTCAGGAGGGCCGTGGGGTCAGGAGGGCGGTGGGGTCAGGAGGGCAGTGGGGTCAGGAGGGCCATGAGGTCAGGAGGGCGGTGGGGTCAGGAGGGCCGTGGGGTCAGGAGGGCCGTGGGGTCAGGAGGGCGGTGGGGTCGGGAGGGCCGTGGGGTCAGGAGGGCCGTGGGGTCAGGAGGGCCATGAGGTCAGGAGGGCCGTGAGGTCAGGAGGGCCGTGGGGTCAGGAGGGTCGTGAGGTCAGGAGGGCCGTGAGGTCAGGAGGGCCATGGGGTCAGGACGGCCATGAGGTCATCAGGGCGGTGAGGTCAGGAGGGCCGTGAGGTCAGGAGGGCCGTGGGGTCAGGAGGGCGGTGGGGTCAGGAGGGCCGTGGGGTCAGGAGGGCCGTGGGGTCAGGAGGGCCGTGGGGTCAGGAGGGCGGTGGGGTCAGGAGGGCCGTGGGGTCAGGAGGGCCGTGGGGTCAGGAGGGCGGTGGGGTCAGGAGGGCCGTGGGGTCAGGAGGGCGGTGGGGTCAGGAGGGCGGTGGGGTCAGGAGGGGTATGAGGTCAGGAGGGCCGTGGGGTCGGGAGGGCCGTGGGGTCAGGAGGGCGGTGGGGTCAGGAGGGCGGTGGGGTCAGGAGGGCGGTGGGGTCAGGAGGGCGGTGGGGTCAGGAGGGCCGTGAGAGCTTGAAGAAGTGCGCCTGCAGCCCCCTCCGGCCGCCCCGGGCTGGGGTGCGGGCCGCTCAGTGCGCGGCCTCCGTGGGGCTGCAGGTGGGGAGGTGCTCAGGCTCAGGCCCAGGTGACGCTGCTGTCCCCCAGGATTCAGTGTCCAGTCCTCGTGGCTCTCGTGGCCAACCTCCTGGGAGCCGCCCTCAGCGTCACCTACATCCCCGCCAGCACCAAGGGCGCCCGGGCAGGCCCGCCCGGTGAGTCCCAGCCTCGCTCCCCCGAAGCCTGGGCTCCTGGCCACCCACACCCGCCCCCCAGAGCCGGGCGGGCACAGGCGGGGGGGTGCGGGCGCGGGGCACCTCGCGGGCAGTGCCCAGTCAGCAGAGCCCCACGTTCAGGCCGGGGGACGGGGGCCTGACGCTCCTCTCACGGCAGGCGGCCCCGCGGCCCGCGTGTTCGACCTGCGGGCGGTCTCCCGCCTGCTGCTGCAGCCGGGCGTGCTGCCCGTGTTCCTGGTCAAGGTGGCCTCCGGCTTCCCCTCCGGTGAGTCCGGCTGCCGGCGGGCGGGGCTGGCACAGGTCCCTCAGCCCGGCCCCCAGGCTCCCGTCTGCCCTCTTTGGGGCGCCCCCTGTGGGAGCCCAGCCCCCAGCCCCTTCCTGCTCATCGCACAGCCGGGGGCGGGGGGGCTGGCCACACTGAGGCAGCGCCTGGTCCAGCAGGCACCACCCGCTCCCCCCGATACGGTCCTGTGGGCGACCCCGCTAGCCTGCCCCTGACCCCTGACCCCTGACCCCTGCCCTGCCCCCCACCCCCCAGGGCTCTTCATGGTCATGTTCTCCATCATCTGCATGGACTTCTTCCGGCTGGACTCCGCCCAGGCCGGCTACCTCATGTCCGCCTTCGGGGTCCTCCTGATGGTGAGTGAGGCCGGGCGCCGGGGGGGGAGGGGGGAGGGGAGCGGGGGGAGGGGAGCCGGGGCGGGGGGGGGGGGCCTCAGCCTCCGGGCAGCTGGGCCTGTGCTGCCGCCTCCTCACCTGCTTCCCGGAGCCCCCCCTCCGCTCCCCTCCCCCTCCCCCCGGCTCCCCTCCCCCCACTCCCCCCCCGCTCCCCCCCACCCCCAGCTCCCCTCCCCCCGCTTCCCCCCACCCCCCGGCTCCCCTCCCCCCTCCCCCCGGCTCCCCTCCCCCCTCCCCCGGCTCCCCTCCCCCCACCCCCGGCTCCCCTCCCCCCACCCCTCGGCTCCCCTCCCCCCTCCCCCGGCTCCTCTCCCCCCACCCCCGGCTCCCCTCCCCCCACCCCCGGCTCCCCTCCCCCCACCCCTCGGCTCCCCTCCCCCCTCCCCCCCGGCTCCCCTCCCCCGCTTCCCCCCACCCCCGGCTCCCTCCCCCCGCTCCCCTCCCCCCGCTCCCCTCCCCCCACCCCCCGGCTCCCCTCCCCCCGCTCCCCCCCACCCCAGGCTCCCCTCCCCCCGCTCCCCTCCCCCACCCCCCGGCTCCCCTCCCCCCGGCTCCCTGCCCCCACCCCCCGGCTCCCCCTCCCCCCACTCCCCCCCGCTCCCCCCCACCCCCGGCTCCCCTCCCCCCGCTTCCCTCCCACCCCCGGCTCCCCTCCCCCGGCTCCCTCCCCTCCGCTCCCCTCCCCCGCTCCCCTCCCCCCATCCCCCGGCTCCCCTCCCCCCAGCTCCCCTCCCCCCTCCCCCCGGCTCCCCTCCCCCCACTCCCCCCACTCCCCCCCACCCCCAGCTCCCCTCCCCCCACCCCCCGGCTCCCCTCCCCCTCCCCCCGGCTCCCCTCCCCCCTCCCCCCGGCTCCCCTCCCCCCACCCCTGGCTCCCCTCCCCCCACCCCCGCTCCCCTCCCCCCAGCTCCCCTCCCCCCTCCCCCCGGCTCCCCTCCCCCCACTCCCCCCCGCTCCCCTCCCCCACCCCTCGGCTCCCCTCCCCCCTCCCCCCCGCTCCCCTCCCCCCACCCCTCGGCTCCCCTCTCCCCTCCCCCCGCTCCCCTCCCCCCTCCCCCCGCTCCCCTCCCCCCGCTCCCCTCCCCCCGCTCCCCGCTCCCCGCTCCCCGCTCCCCGCTCCCCGCTCCCCGCTCCCCTTCCCCACCCCTCGGCTCCCCTCCCCCCTCCCCCCGGCTCCCCTCCCCCCGCTCCCCTCCCCCCACCCCCCGGCTCACCAGTCTCGGACTCACTGCCCCCCACGGGCTCCTGTCCAGAGTCCTCTGAGTGCCCAGGCGGCCGGTGTGGGCGTGGGAAGGAGGGCCGGGCTCCACAAGACACCGAGGGGGTTGGGGGGTCTGCAGGGGGCCGCAGGGCCCCCGGAGGCGGACGAGGTCTCCCCCCGCCAGGCTCCAGGAGCGCGCGTGCTGTGGGAGAGCCTGTGGAGTGCGGTCAGGCTCCAGCCCACACGCCGGCCGGCCTGCCAGCTGTGCACGAGGGCCAGGGAGCGGGTTTTCAGAGGACACGGATGGTTTGAAAGAGGTTTTTATTGGCCTCGGGGAGGGGGGAGAGAGATGTCCATGAGGAGAGAACCATTGACCGGCTGCCTCCTGCCTGCCCCACTGGGGATGGAGCCCGCAACCCGGGCCTGTGCTCCAACCGGGAACCGAACCCTGACCCCCTGGTTCCTAGTCGGCAGCCCTGACCCTCCTCCTGTCCCCTCCCCCCAGGTCATCCAGGGCCTGGTCATCGGCCGGCTGAGCAGCCGCTTCTCCGAGGCCGCCCTGGTCCGGGCCAGCGTGCTGGTGCTCAGCCTGGTGGGCCTGGCCATGGTGAGCGTCCAGCTGCACCGGGGGCCGGTCCAGGCCTGTTCCCTGACCCTCCCTCCCCCCTCCCTCTCCCCCCTCCCACCCCCTCCCCCCTCTCCCTCCTCCCTTCCACCCCGTCCCCCCTCCCACCCCATCCCCCCTCCCCCTCCCCCTCCCCCTCCCCCCTCCCCCTCCTCCCTCCCACCCCGTCCCCCCTCCCACCCCCTTCTACTCTCTCCCACCCCCTCCCACCCCCTCCCACCCCCTCCTACCCTCTCCTACCCCCTCCCACCCCCTTCCCTCCCCTCCCACCCCCTTCTACTCTCTCCCACCCCCTCCCACCCCCTCCCACCCCCTCCCAGGATCCCGGGATGGGGCCTGGGGCGGAGCCTCCTGCCAAACCCCCGCCCGCCCGTGCCAGGCGCTGATGTCCACCGTGTTCCACTTCTGCCTCCTGATGCCCGGCCTGGTCTTCGGCCTGTGCCTGCTCAACGTGGTGACGGACAGCATGCTGACCAAGGCCGTCTCGGCCTCGGACACCGGTGAGCACAGCGGCCGCCGGAGAGGAGGCCCGGCCCGGCCCGGCCACCTCGGGACCTGCTCGGCTCCGGCGACAGCCATCCGGGTTCGGGGCCGGGTGGGTGAGAGGCGGACCACCAGCAGGCCGGCTCCTGACCCTCAGCCCAGTCTAGGCCGACCTGGGGTGGGAGGAGGGCTCCCCGGAGGTGGCTTCGGCTTGGCTTTGCGGGAACGGAGGGAGGGGCGTCTGGCCCAGGAGCAGAGATGTGGAGTGGGGGCGGGAGAGGCTCCAGTCAGGGAGGCAGCCCGGTGGGCGGGGCGCGGGGACGGGGAGGGGGAGGCCGAGGGGGCCAGGCCCTGTCCCGCCCCAGCACGGTGCCCAGGTGCCCGTGTGAATGCCAGCTGGTTAACCGGGCAGCCTCGGCTCACAGGGCCAGGCTCCCGCCCCACCCGCTCCAGGCCGAGTCGGGGGCTCCCGTGGCTGTCTGAGGTGAAGGGGTCCCCAGCAGCGGGGGCAGAAAGCTCGGGGAGCCTGGCTGACGCTCGGTCTGTGCGTCTGTCTGTCAGTCAGGGAAGTGCTGGCGGAGGCCTGTGGTCCTGGGGTCCCGGGAGGCCAGGGGGGGCCCGGAGGGCTTCCCGGAGGGGGCGGCTGGCACGTGGGAGGCGGGAGGAGCAGCCGGGGACAGGCCTGAGAGGTGAGGGCAGGCCCGGCCTCGGGGAGCTGGGGGCCGCACCCTCGGCGTAGAAGGAGCCGGGCCGGTTCCCAGCACCAGCCTGGGAACCCCAGGCCACAGGGGGGCGGAAAATTGCTCCGTGGCGGCCGGGTGGGGCACGTGGGCGGCGGGAGAGGCTGCTCCGCAGTTTCCCTCCGGCCTGAGCCTGCGCAGCTCCCAGGCGGCTCCCGACCAGCCAGGTTCCCATCGGCCCGGGCGCTGACCTCCCGGCTGGGGACAGGAGCCACCACGTGCTGCCCACAGCGGGGGAGCCGGGAGGGGGGCAGATGCGGGGGTGCCCGCCGGAAGCCCCCAAAGCCCTCGGGACTTGTGGGGTGTGTTCCCATCGGGCCCTGTGGGGGGCCGTGGGGGACCCTGAGACGGTGGCCACCCTGCTCCCCAGGCCCCGCCCCCGACTGGCCGCTCACCTTTACCGCCAGGCGCACCCCCACCCGTTTCTGTGGGCTGCACACATCGCCATCTCCCTGGCGGCCTGGGGAGGGGCACCCCGTGACTGGGCCCAGGCCGCCCCCCACCCCCCGGCGTGCGTGGGAACTCTCCGGCCCAGGGCGGCCGGTCCAGTCCGGCCCTTCACGGCTGAGTGGCCGCAGGGAGCAGGCCCACAGGCCGTGGGGGAGGGGTGGGGAGACAGGAAGTGAGCGGGTGACGCTGAGGGACCCAGGCCTGACCCGTCCGTCCCCCCCCAGGGACCATGCTGGGCCTCTGTGCCGCGGTGCAGCCCCTGACCCGCACGCTGGGGCCCACGCTGGGCGGCCTGCTGTACCGCGGCTTCGGCGTCCCCGCCTTCGGCCACGTGCAGCTCGCCGTCAACCTGCTCGTCCTCCTGGCCCTCTGCCGGCAGCCCACGCCCCGGAAGGCGGACAAAGTGCGGTGACCGTGGCCCCGGGCACCACGGGCAATAAACCAACTCCGCACGGCTTCCGCCTGGTCTCTGCGGCTGCGCTGGGGGGGGGGGGGGGGGGGGGCCTGGCCCCTGAAGTCCAGCCCCACCTCCCGTGAGAAGTGCCCCCCAGAGAGGGGAAGCCTGCTGCCCCCTTCCCTCCTCCTGCCCCAGCTGGGAGCACGCGGCCCCCACGCGCCCCCTCAGGGACCCCGCACGCCCCACAAATTCTCCAAGTTGTCCTGCTCCCAGGAAGACGAATTCGGGGCTCGGGAAGGGCCTGGGCACAGGGCCTCCCTCCGTGGGGGGCCCAGTGGGGAGCCGGGCAGCCAGGCCTGAGGCCTGAGGCCTGGGTGCACCATCTCCCCCTGCCCCCCCCTGCCTCCCGGGGAGGGGCTCGGGCAGGGAGACGAGGGGCTGCTGTGACCGACAACAACCTTGACGGTGCCCTCCCCCCCCACTCCGAGGCCACCCTCCCCCAGAGGCCAGCCCTCCCCCGAGGCTGCCTTCAAAGCCATTAAACCCGATTCCAGCCCCAACCAGACAAGTCCGGCTGCTCTGAACCCCTCTGGGGCCCGGAATCCACTCCGGCTGCTCATTCGTCCCCACGAGGGGGGTCCCTCCGGGGCCCGGGGCCATGCGGCCGGCCCGCCCTACCCTCTGAGGCACCCCCCCCCCCTCCCCGTGTTCCAGAACGTGCCTGGCCGGAGGCGGCTTCCTCTCTGGGCCCAGCACCCAGGGGAGTCAGATTCCTCAGGTGCCCCTCCCACGCCCATCACTGGCCCTGGGCCCCTCGGAGGCCTCTGCTCGGCCACATCCCGCACTGCCCGCTCTGCCGGCCTCCGTGGTGGCCAGACCACCCGGAGCGTGTGGCCAGACGGGTGGGGTCCGAGGGCAGAGCAGGTGGCCTGTGGGCGTGACGGCAGCTGGCCGGGGAGGCTCCTGACCGCAGTGGCGGGTACATGACCTCCCGGAGCAAAAGCTGCCGCCGCCCCGTCCGGCCCGGCCCTGCCCGTCCGGCCCGGCCCTGCCCCGCCTGCCCCAGCGGAAGTCAGCCCGGCCGAACAGGCGCACTTCCTGCCTCTGGGGCGGCTGCGGGCGAGGAGGTGCCACCGGCCCATTCATTCCACCCTGCCCTGCCCTGCCCGGCGGGCCGCACCCCGTGACGCGGCCGGGCCCCCATTCCCAGGAAGGCACAGCGCCCGCGGGTAGAAAAGCGAACCCACCAAGTGGTTTATTGGAATGGCACTGGTTTAAAAAACAGAATATTAAGACAAAAGACCTGGTTTAACGACAAACAGCCACCAGAATAAATACATAGTCAATAACTTAGGGCGGCCGCGCGGGGCGGCGGGCAGGGAGGTCCCTGCGGGGGCAGCCCCGCCGGCCCCTCCTTCAGTCCTCGCCGCGGCGGAGCGGGGCTTCGGCGTCTCCTGCGGGCTCGTCCGTCCAGCGGGGTCCTGCGGGGAGAGGGGGTCAGGGCTGCGCCAAGCCGGGGCGGGTCCGGCCGGCCCCCTGCGGCTCCCCGAGGCTCCAAAGGGAACGTCGACGGCGCGGTCCCCGGCGTCGCCGTCCGGCGCACTCTCCGCGGCTCAGGACGCGCGGGCGGCGCGGGGCTCGGGGGCCGGGGCCGGGGCCGGGGCCGGGGCCGGGGCGCGGGGGGCCGGGGCCGGGGCGCGCTCCTGCAGGGCGCGGCGGTTCTGGAAGTCCATGAGCGCCAGCGCGATGGCCGCGCTCCAGCAGCTCTCGCCGGGGCAGCGGAAGTCGATCTCCTTTCGGTCGGTGGTGACGAGGGTGAAGTAGACGTGCTTGCCGGTGCGCTCCACGCAGTCCACCTTGAGCAGCGAGTGGAAGCGCAGCTCCTTGGGCCGCGCGCCGCGGCCGGCGGGGAAGAGGCGCAGCCGGTCGGCCGTGAGCTCGCCGCGCTTGCGCTTCCAGAGCTGCAGCAGGCTGCCGCTGCGCTTCTCCAGCTCGCCCTCGCGCAGCACCTCGCGCAGCACCTCGCCGGGCGCCCGGGGCGCCGCGGGGCCGGGCATCCTCATGGCGGCGGGCGGGGGCCGGGGCCGAGCCGAGCAGCGGGCCGGGCGGCGGAGGCGAGAGCAGTGCGGCCCGGCCGCCGGGGCGCGCGGTCTTTATAACGGCCCCGCCCCCGCCCGATCAGGCCCCGCCCCTCGACACGCCCCCGGAGGCTCCGCCACTCAGAGCCCCGCCCGCAGGCCACGCCCCCGCACGCGCAGGCCACGCCCAGCGGCGCCCCGCTGCCCCGCCCCCAAGCCCTCTCGCCCTCCCGCGGGGGTCACCCTTCCTTCTTGTCTGCAAACCGCCGGGCGCCCCTCCGACCCCGGCCCCGGCCCCCGGGGGACACGCGGTCCCCACCCCCGGGACCGGCCCGCGGAGGAAGGTCCGCCCCGCCCGCGGTGACTCAGCGCCCGGGGCCGGGAAGCACCGCAGCCGGGCGGACCCGGGGCGCCCGGATCCCCGCCCTCCAGGCGCGGACACCCGCCCGGCCGCTTCCTCCCGGGGCCCTTCCCGGGGAGACCCCCCTGGCTTCGGCCCCCGGCCCCCGGCCCCCGGCAGCAGGCGCTCTGGGCCGGGGTCGGGGTGCGGAGCGCACAGGGACACCGGGAAGGGCTCCCGCAGCCCCGCGCGGTGCCTGCGGACGTGGGGGAAGGCGCAGCCTCCTGTCCCGGCGGGGCCGCCTCTCCCCGGACCCCGAGCCGGAGGGGCGGAGGGGGGGGGGACGGCTCCGCTGGGGCCGCACGTGCGGCGGGGAGGCCGGAGCCCGGGGGGAGGGGCGGGGAGGCCGGTCGCCGGGCGGAGGCCGCGGGGGCGGCTGAGTCACTGCCGGCAGCCGGCGCCCGGGCGGCGTTCATCACCTCCTTCCTTTAGGCCGAGCGGGAGCAAATCCGGGCGGCCCCTCCCGTCCCCAGGGCGGAGGGCAGTCAAGGGGATTTCTGGGGCGCACAGCCGCCGGGCCCCACCTTCCCACACCCACGGAAGCGGTGACCCGGCGGGAGTGGCAGGAGCGGGACGGGTCCCACTGAAATGCAGGTGCCGGCGCCACAGAATTAGGCATTTCCGCCCGGACAGCCCGGCCCGGGGCAGGAGCGGCTGGACTGGACCAGCCTCTCCTCCCCTCCCGGGCTCTGGCTGTGCCTCTCCTGCCCCTGACCCGAGGGTGGTCCAGACCCTGGAGGGACGTGGGGGCTCAGGTCTGTGTCCACTGCAGCCAGTGGTGCTCACTGTGTGGCTAGAGGGCTGACTGGGGTGTGGGTGAGTCCCCCGCTAAAGGCTCCACCAGCCTGCGGACCCCCAGCACCCCGTCACCCCAGCACCCCGGCCCTGGCCAGCGCAGCCGTGCCGAGCTGAGCGGGTCTCAGGCTGCTGGGCAGACCTGGTCCTCGGGACAGTGGGACACCAGGCACAGACCAGGGGTGCTGCTGTCACCGTCCCTAGGGAGCCACTCTGGCCCCCACCCCCACCCCCGTGCCCGCCGCTCTGCAGGGACCCCCTGAGGTCCACCAGCGTGCCAGCCTGCCCCCCTCCACCCCCCCACCCCCCAAAGGGCCAGCTGCTGGAACCTGAGCTCTGGGCAGACCGGATGCTCAGCTTAAGGTCCTACTGTGCCTGCAGGCCCTTCTTGTCCTAGTCCTCGCAGGAGAGGGGTGCCTGCAGGCCGTGGGGGTGGGGTGGGGCCTGGAGGAACTGTCCCGGCAGCGGGGAGCAGGGCGTGAAGGTCAGTGGGGTCGCTGTGCACACGCCCAGCCTCTGTGCACCGCCCGAGACCGCCCCGCGGGGGCACGCTCCCTGGGAAAGAAGCCCCAGGGAATGGGGAGACCAGAAACCAGAGGCGGGGCTTGGGGTGTGGGAGGGAGGCTGGGAGAGCGGGGCCAGGTCTCTCCCTCCTCAGCGTGGGCCTGGCCCTCTGGCAGGGGTGGCGGTAAGCTGGGGGTTGTGCTGACAAGTGGGCGTTAGCGGGAGCTGGGAGGACAGGCCGTGGGGTGGGGAGCCCACTGCTCTTCTCAGAGGCTCCTGGGCAGGGTCCCCAGGGAGAGGACCCTGAGGGAGCCGGTGGGCACCGGCCAGGCCCACCCAGGCAGCCTCACTCCCAGCAGCCCCGCCCAGGCCTGAGACCTGGGGGTTGGGGAGAGAGGAAGCGGGTTTGACCGCCATGTCCGAGCCGTGTCTGAAGCTGCTCCGTCCCAGTGCAGCTCGGCCAAGCTGACCCTGGAGCGAGGGGAGGGCCCTGCCTCCGCCCACTTCCTGGGAGACAGAGGCAAAGTGCTGGTCCAACATCGTGGGGGTGGGGGCCCTCCCTGGACAGCCAGGAGCCTAGAGGACCATCAGGATAGCTGCCCAGCGGGGACTGCCCCTTCCTACCCACCCTCCCCCTCCGGGGAGCAGCCGCCCAGGGATCTAGGCCCCGACAGACCCGACCAGAGTGAGGTCTTGGAGGCACTTTAGTTCCCCCTTTCCACCACGCCGGGCTGTGGGGCTTCTTTTCTTGGGTTTCCTGGGAACAAGATGAGGGCCTGAGAGACTGGTCCGAGGTCACACAGCCAGCCAGCACAAGTCCAATCCGTCCCGCCGAACCCCAAGGCCAGGCAGGGAACGGCCCGCTGCAGCTGGCTTCTGGGGTGGGGGCGTTAGGGGTGCACTGGGCTTCGCCTCCTCAGTGGGACCTTCCCCAGGCAGTGACACTGGTCCTCGAACCCCGGGCGGTCCAGCGGGGAGGCCTCAGGTGGCCGTGAAGGAGGAAGACGCCTCTTCGAAACTCCGTGTGAGGCCACTTCCACAGTGACGCAGCCAAGCCCCGAGGCTGCGCGCGTCAGCGGCTGTGCCTGGGGTTGGGCACCACCCCCTTCCTGTGTGGAGGGCAGGAGCAGACTGTCTGCCATGGGGGTCCCCTGCCTGGAAGCCCCTCTCCCCCATGGAGCCCTCCTAGATTGCCAGGGCAAACTCTCAGACCTGCTCCCACCCACCGCCAGGAGAGGAGGGGAGCAGGGAGAACGGGGAGGCAGGGAGAGCCCACACTGCCTGGCCCTGCAGCACCCGAGAGGCGGTGCGCTACGGTCCACGGGGCCCAGCCTGCGGTCCAGGCCCGCCCTCTGCTGGAAGGTGCAGCCGGGGAGGCGGCGGCCCAGGCAGAAAGGGGAGGCCGCTCCACCTGGCTCCGGGGTCAGGCTCAGCCCGGCCTCCTCAAAGCCGTGTCCCTTGTTGCTCTCTCCCAGCCCCGCCGCTGGAGTCTGAGGGCGGGCCCACCTCACCAGGCCCTGGGGGCCAATGAAAGCGATGCCCCAGTCAGCTCCAGAGACGCAGTGGCCACGTCCTGTTCTTTGGTGCCCCCAGGTGCTCAGAAAACGTTTTTGGGGAAAAGGGGGAACTAAAGTGTCCACCTCGCTGCCTCCAAGACCTCACTCTGGTCAGAGCCAGGGAAGCAGGGAGACGCAGCCCTCCTGTCCCCCAAGAGGGCGCACTGTGTGCCGAGGCAGCCCTGGGTCTGAGCTCCAGGGGCTTCCCCGCGGGTCCCCAGCTCCCGGGGGAAGGGGTGGTTCCACAGGCAGGTCCCCGGCTCCTGGGAGCCTGGGAGCGGAGGCTGCCCGGGCTCTGCCTGCGTCTCCGGCCTGGAGGCGGTCCTGAGCCACAAGCCCAGGCGGCTGGCGGCTCAGGGCCAGGCCTGTTAGGTTGCCATGGAAAGTAACATCCGGCCGCGCCCACAGCAGTCAGCATGGCCAGGCGGGGCCAGTGACGCAGTGGTGACACCTGGGGCGGGTGGAGCCGTGTCTGGGGCACCAAGGTGACTTGGCCTGGGGGGAGGGGTGCCGGGGAGCTGTCGTGGGACCTGGGAAAGGCTGGAGGGGTCCAAGGCTGACAAGGTGCCTGGAGACCCTCACCAGCTCTGAGCATGAGCTTGGTGGGGGGTCAGGGGGTGCAGTCCTGCTGTTGGGGACCACTGCGTCTCTTGGTGGGGGGCCAGATGCTCCTCAGCCTCCCCTGCCCCCCAAGACCTGCCCTGAGGTTGAGGGCGAGTCTGCCCCTCGAGGAAGGAGGTTGGGAAGTCACTGACAGGAAGGGACCGAAGTCCAGGTGCGGCCAACACTGGCGGGGAGCCGAGGGCAGCCCACATGGACGATGCCGGCACGACTCCACGCCCACAGCCCTGGTCCACCAGGGGCTCTGCAGCAGGGGGACCGGGAGACAGGACCCAGGTTCTGAGCGGAGGGGCCTCCTCAGGGCAGGGCAGGGCAGAGGTCAGCCACACGGACACCGGCACAGGCCTGGCTGAAGCCGAGGGCCCAGCCTCCCTCCCCGCCCACCTCCCTGGTGGCCAAGGAGCCTCCGCAAACCCCCCTGGGAGCAGGAGCCCTGGGCTGAGGGGATGGAGGGGCCGGGCTGGCCCACCAGACCAGCCAACAGGAGCCGCAGGGGTGGGCGGAGGCTGTCAGGCTGCAAGTGACCACAACTCCTGACCCCTGGAGAGGAAAGCCAGTGTTTTAAGTGGAATCTGCCCAAAGTGGGGCTTTTGAAAAAGGCTCCGATGAGGTGTGATTCACACCCAGAAGCCGCACTCCCTCCCGAACAGGCCCCACCCCAGCAGGTGCTGAGCAGGTCCTAGGAGCCCGTCCCTCGGGTCATGCTTTCCTGTGTCGTGGGGTCCTGATGCTGGGGCCACTCTGTTGTGGGTACACAGCATTGCTAGCACCCCACCTTTAACTGCTGGCACCTGGGGGAAGCAGCGAGCCCCTCCCAGCAGGATGCCAGGAGTGCAGAAAGGGAAGCGGGATCCAGGCCAGTCTGTGACAGCCAACACCCCGGCCCCGAGGGCCGCAGGGATGGGAGCTGGCCTTGGACACGCTCCCGTCACCAGAAAGCTCTGATGTCTGGGCCCAGAGTGGTGGCTGGGCTTATGGCTGTCCAGGGACCATTGGGGACAGAGGCACAGCAGCACCAGATGAGCGAAGGGGGTCCTGAGGCCGGAGGCTGCAGCTCCCAGGCCCAGTGGGCCCAGCTAGGCCAGGCGGGTGGCCACCCGGAAGTGCTACAAGCGTCACCTTCCCCGGTGGGACTCCGGGCAAACCTCCCATGCCCATGACTGCCCAGCTCGTGCCAAGGCCCAGGGCAACCTCCACAATGCGGCGTCCTGGAGGCCTCCCCCGGGGCAGGGCCAGGGCCCCTGGCCACCGAGACTGTCCAGGAGGGGGAGCCGTGGGCGGGCAGAGGACAGCGTCGTGAGGGCCTGGTGCAGGAGGCTGAACCCGTGGGCGGCCAGGGAGAGGTCTGCCTCTGGGCTTGGCGCTGGAGGCCCGTCCCTGTCCCCGTCCGGTGCAGGAACAGCCTGGCAGCAGCTGCGCCCGTCCTCGCCCCCACAGGGCCCGGCTCACACGGAGGACGCAGAGCGGCCAGCACCTGCTTGTCCTGCCACCTGACCCTGGCAGCCCACTGCCTCCAGCTTCCTGTTTACCTGTGGCTTCCCCATGGAATCCCTGTGCACACGCGCCTCACAGTGTGCACACGAGGCCCACCCCTCCCCCCTGCACGCCATCACACCGAGACCGTCCCTCTCGTCCCCGGCACTCGTTTAGGCAGGAGCCAACCTGACCGGTCTCCTGGCCATTTCATCCGGCGTGTGCCCGCAGCGCCCTCGCCTGCAGCACATGAGGGCGGGGGCTCTGTCACGGGGAGCTCAGCAGCTGCAGCCTCCCGCTCTCAGCCGCTCTCAGCCCGTCACGCTGAGCTGCCCAGCCCTCGTGACCACTCCGTTTCCGCTCCCCTGGCGAGGCCCTGCGTCCGGGCGGCGCTCTGTGGCACGTGAGCCCACCCGTGATTGGGGCAGCGGAGACGGCTCCCCCTGGAGCCCGGCTTCCCTGCAGACGGCCGGGGACAGAGCTCTGGGCAGCCGCTCTGACCCCAAAGACTGTGCGCCAGGTGCTCAGCCAGCTCCCTTCGCGCGCCCAGGCTGTGGGCAGCGCAGGCTCCTCTGCAGCCCGCCCTTGGGGGCGGCATCCTCAGGCTGGGGTTCCCGGGGGAGCCCGCCCTCTCGTGCAGGGCGAGGAGCCAGCAAAGGGAGCCCCATGGCCTGGAGACCAGCAGGTAAGAACATGAGCCTGAGGAACAGGAGGAAAACCAGACACCGAGGTTCGGACTGGCCACACCTCAGGGTGCAACCACCCGCCCCATCCCCTTTCCCCTTTCCCCTTTCCCCAGAGACACACACGCGGGCCCAGGTTTCACCACTTTAATAGATACTCTAACTGTCTGTACAAATTGAAAACAGCATCTTCAGTTACAAATGTATCTAAGTAATAAGGCTGAGCACTTTCCCTGTGGCCCCGAGTCGCTGGCTGCAGGGACCAGGGAACGAGGTCACACGCTCGGAGCCCACACGCCAGCCGAGAGCAGGTCGCTCTGAACCCAGGGCTTTAAGACACGATGGACGTGGGGCTGAGAAACGGGCTGAGGAGACGCGACACGCACACACGAGGACCCGTGCCCGCCCAGCCCTCCCACAGAAGACGGGCGCACGGCACGGCCGGCCAAGGAGCCCGTGTCCGGGAGACGGCTCGCCCAGCTGGCGTGGCGGAGGGCGGGCTTCCCCCCTCAGGCCTCCTCCCCGCCCTCCCCAGGTCTCCATCACAAACATGGTCTCAGAAACCTGAAGACAGGCGCCAGCACCACCGAGGCTCACAGCACGAGGAACAAATAAATATGGGGACACACCACACAGGCCAACGCCTCAGCACTGTGGGCGCCGGACCCCACCCCACCCAGGAAAGGAAACCCAGGAAGAGCCGGCAGCACGGACGGCTCTGCGGCCCGCGAGGCCAGACAGGACCTGGGCCGGACAGAGCGTGTGGTGTCTTCAAACGAGATGGGAGCAGAGGCTCCCGGACTTCTGTCCTGGGCTCGGGGACCTTCCCACCCCACGGGGTCTACGGGCCCCCCCAAAGGTGGGCCTGGGGAAGTCTACTGAGCTGCACCCAAGGCTGCGGAGGGTGCGGGATTAGATTCAACCTCCTACTTCTGAAACGCGTGTAAGTGGCCGCTGTACAGGTTAAGCAAAATAATAAGGAAAGAGGAAAACGAAGCGAAAACCATGCACGTGAAGAAGGCCGGTGTGGGCGTGCCGACAGGTCGCTGCTCACTGCTGCTTGCACTCCGAGGGCTGGCTGGGCTCCTTCTGTCAACGAAAGACAAGACTTGTGGGACCGTCCACAGCCCCCACAGCCCCCGCCATTTCCCACCAACACCACATGTGCAACACACTGTGACCTGTGAACAGGAGGTCACCAGATTGAATCCAGGTCAGGGCACAGGTCCGGGTTGCGGGCTCGATCCCCAGAGTGGGGTGTGCAAGAGGCAGCCGATCCAAGATTCTCTCTCATCAGTGATGTTTCTATCTCTTCCTCTCCCTTCCTCTCTGAAGTCAAAACATTTACATTTTATAAAGCAGCAAACATAAGCCAACTGCCCAGAGAATGTCACAGCAGAGCTGCCTCTTCTGTTCCAAGACGCCTGAGACCCTCTCGTTCTGGGCAAGGCAGCAGGAGGCCCGGGCAGAGCGGCTCACTCGTCAGCAGGTGACAGGAGACCCCGTTGGCAGGCTGGGAGCAGCTGGGAGCTCTGGGTGCCCAGGCACTGCCCGGTGAGTCCTAAGGGGCTCCTGTCCCAGCCCCACGCCCAGGAGGGCTGCCTCTCCCTTCCTTGATGATGAATGCCCGCAAAGCCATGGCACCAAGATCCACAGACAAGCTGTGCCACCCCAGGAGCCCCAGGGGGGATGCTAGCCTTTCAGATAAGCTAGAGGGGGTCCCCCACCCCGGAACCACTTCAATGTGACGTGTTGTGTGCATCCCTGCCACTGAAACCGCACGCGCCCGTGAACGCGGTAGGGCACAGAGCAGGCCCCCATCCGTCCGAGCTAAGATTGCCAATCTCCCTGCACCCACCGGCCCGCCTATGGACTCAGCACCGGGGCTGAGAAGAAGCACCTGGGACCACACCACCACACTCTCAGGTGGGAGCTGGGCTCCAGCTGGCCTTTGGAATCTCAGTTAAGGGCTGAGAAAGGCCCGTAAGGGGGCATACAGACAAGCAGCAGCTCGGACCCTGGTCCACGCTCCCGATGAGCACACGTAATGGGAAGAGCACAGGACACGCCAGGACCCACAGGCTGGCCCCGTGTCTGCCTGGCCCTGCCCAGGGCTGGGGGCCCGGCCCGTCACATGCTCACCCCGAACACCAAAGCCACAAGCCTGACCAGCGGTCCTGGCCGAGAGCTCGGCACCAGCAGCGTCCTTGCAGGGGGACCGTGGGCCGGGCCGGCGCTGCGGCCGAGCAGAGTGCTCAGGGAGCTGCGGAGGGGCGCGGCGGACTGTATCACGCAGGGAGCACGAACTGCCGCTGGCCCACAGGCAGCCCCAGCGTGGCTGTGGAGATGGGGGAAGAGTCTGCACCCACACCAAGGCCAGGAGGGCCGTGGACACAGGACAACACGGCTGCAGGCCGAGCCTCCTGCTTCATGCCAGTGTGACGGCAGCGTGACCACTCCATGCTGATGATCAAGGGAGAGGAGCTGGCATTCCAAAGGCACAAACTTACAGTCAAAAACGTGGCGAATCCCGGGACCAAAGACGGGTTTGGGTGGCTGACAAGTGCCCGAGCAGGAGCACAGAGACGCCCGCATCGCTGGGCATGGGGCGCTGTGGTCACACCGCTCCTCTGCTCAGAGGCCCAGGCTGTACAGCTTGTGACGCTCAGAGGAGCTGACGAGGGGAGTGACTTCGGGCACAACCTGGCAGACAGCTCCTCAGACGTGGGCGCAGTCATGTGATCAGCCCTGCCCTAGCTAGCGCCCAGACCTACCTTCAGCCCGGTCTGCGCCCCACGAGCGAGAAAGGACAGTGCAACAGACCCTCTAAGGCGCCGACCTGAACTCACACCAGCACCTGCGTCTCCTACAGGGAGCCCTGGTCCCGGCTCTCACAGGCACGTCCTGTCTGAGCTGCCTCTGGCCATAGACCCCGACTTCCCAGAAGGCCCCTGCTGCCTTCGTGCCTGCCTCCGGCCCCAACACCTCCCCCGCTGCGCCCCAGCCCTGGCAGCAGTGAGTGTCCCAGGCGAGCCCGGAGGGAGCACGGTGACGACGGCCCACACGGGACAGGGGCCCTGGCTTGCTGCTGCTCCTGCTGCTGAAACCAACAGCTGACCTGGCATTGAGTCCGAACTGCAGTGACCGCAACACACGTGCTAATGCCACCCCACACGGGCAGACGCTTTCCAGATAAGAAACGCACAAGCTCCGCCACCTCACTACCCACTGGCTGCACATGGACAGATGCACGCCCAGGAACATGGCGGGGTGGCACGGGCACAGGGCCTGAGGGAGCGGCAGGGGCGGGGAAGCGTGCCGCCTCCAGGAGGACCGCTGGCCTCTGGCTCTGTGCCCTGCAGACTGCCCACCTCCCAGGGCCTCCCCTGTCCTCTTCCTGGAGGGCAGTCCTGTCACCGAGAAAAACGCCACACCAGTTGCTCCTTGGCTGCGTGGTCAGCAAGAAACCCTGGGCTCGGCAAGCAGGAGCCACGCGTGGTTGTGGCCAGCCGGTTCGCTGGGCGCACACAGCCCCCCACAAGGCGGCTGGTCAGGAGGCCGTGTCCGCCTGGCGCGGGCACCCGCACAGCAGCCTGCTCTGCCCCAGTCACAACAGGCACTGTCATAAAGCACAGATCAACAGTTTGGAAGTTAGGAATGAATGGAATTCCACCTTACCTAGAAACGCATGATTAACAGACAAAAATCACACCTAAACGGGGAGAAAATTGAAAGGCACGGTCAGCATGGGAAACGAAGGCACACCATCTTACAGGAGGGAGCAGCCCCGTCTCAGGTACGGAAGGGCGGCAGCTACGAGAGCAGAGCCTCCACACACAGCTGTGCTGGCTCCTCTGAGCACTCTCTCTGGCAAGTGCCTCTACAGAGGTGCCCCCTGACAGGGGGACAGGGGGACAGGGGGACGGGGACAGAGGGCTCACAAGGACAAGCCTGAGTCTGACTCACGGCTGACAGTTCCAGCACTCACAGCACTACCCGCTCCCAACAGACACCTCGAGACGTCATGGGGTGAGTGCCACAACCCTCTACCTCTGCCAGGTCATGTGACCGCGTGGTGACCGTGCCCCCAGGACACAGGATGTGGGAACAGGAGGACAGACACCAGAAGGAAACAACAGGAGCCAAGCGCCCGCTGCCAGTGAGACGGGCAGAGAACACATCTGGGGCTCGGCGTGGCAGTGTCGGGTCACCACCACCCAGTTTTGTTAACTCAGACACCCCGCAACTCCTGTCCCCCAAGGTGACGCGCTCACAGCCGGCCCCAGGTCTGCGCGCCTCTCCGCTATGGCTCAGAGGCGAGCACAGGGGTGTATGGAACAGCTGCCATGATGGACAGGCCAACCCGACACAATGCTCATTTCGGGGAGCACATTTACACCCTGACCCCCCTCGTCCCCGCAGGCACTCCAGTGAGCATGGTTCACAGGGACACGCGGTGCACAGACAGCGACAGACAGGCTCTGCAGCACAGCCGCGGGCACACTGCACCGGGAAGACGGGACACGCACACGGGAACCAGAGTGCGACTGCCCAGGCAGGTGTCGGGAGGGACGACTGCAGAGGCTCCTGCGCAGACAAGATCGAGTCCCAGGAGGGCCGCCCTGCAGTCAGCACCAGGCAAGTGGCAAAGCACCTGAGTTTGAGCCAATCAAGAGCAGGAGCACAGCTCCGGACTTACAATAAGTTAACGGGGCTGTCCACTCATGTTGTCACTTTTAAAAAAGCTTCCTCATTTACTTTTAAATTATGAGAAATCTAGCCATAGTTTTTCAGCACTCACCCAAGTACAGGTGTAAGTTACACTTACGTTTTCATTGCGCTATTTAAAAATAACACCCTGCCCCCCCACGAAGTGCCATCTTCGCACCTCTCCAAAAGCAAGCACCTGAGTGCCTGTGCGTCAGTGACAGCGTCCCCGGACGGGACCAGAGGGGCACAGCCTGAGGAGCTGGGGGGCAGGCGCTGGACACTCGCCCGCCGTCCAAGGCGCTGAGCAGTCCCGCCCCAGTCCCCGACACCCGCCCGCGTTCTAACTGGAGGGAGGGGCCACGTCGGGCTCCTCACCGATGTGGGTGGGCGTGCTCAGCAGCACAGCGCATGGTCGGGCAGCCCCAGAGCAACTCACCTTGAGGCTGGCGTCAGCATCGTCCTCTTCCTCCGCCTCCTCGTCTCCTTCCAGCTCCTGTGCGGAGGATGGACAGGCATCACTTCCGCTCGGAGGAAAGCAACCGCTCCCCACACTACTGACCCCTCTGGACTATTCCGTTCCCCGTATCCTCTGCTGCTTAGCCCTAAACCACCCTCGCGCTGCTTCTGTGGACTGAACCACCACTTCCTAAGAAGCATTTCATCAGCCAAACACAGGGTCACCGGGACCCTGCGAGGGCATCTGCCACCTTCCTGCCGTTCTCACCAGGGCCCACGTCTGACATGCCACACCCAGGGATGTAACCAGGGCCCGGGGCTCACACGCTGTCCCCCCGCCCGGGGCACTGAGCTGCCACATACAAGCTGGCCTTACCTCCTCTTCTCCTTCCTCACCTTCTTCAAACTGAAAAAGAAGGGAACACACGTTTAGGTTTTGAAAGTGTGATGGCACCCCGACCCAGACAGTGCCCTGTCCAGGCCACCTCCACTCCCCTCCCCACCCCCGTCCCGGTCAGGCCTGAGGAAGGCAGGCCATCCTGCTCGGACGGAGCACAAGGCAGCATGACCAGACCAAGTGCTGAGAGGCCACCTGCTGCTGGGCAGCCTGGGCACCAGCGCCATGGCTGGCTAGGGCCAGTCTGCAGGAATGCTTGCTCACAAGCCCTGCCCATCAATGGGATGCCGGTCGAGAGGACGAATAAGGGGTGAAGAAAGGAGACTGCCTGCTGGGGGTTGGCCCAACCAGGACACTGTCATTTGTCTCCGACAGGCTCAGGGGTGGGCTTCCGAAGCTTCCACACGCACCCTTTCAGGGGCCGCCTTTGGAGATCCGCAGAGGCCTCTCAAACCCGTCTCACACTTGGCAGAGCTGGTCCTATGTGGGGCGCAGGCCCAGGACGAGCCCAGAACTCCCGCCTCCACTTCCTGTGACCAGCACTTCCTAAATCCTAAGTCTCAGCAAGCACTTGTGGTGGCGCAGCACAGGCCGAGCTGTGGACACGGCCCAAGCCCACCACGCCCTCCAGCCTGGACCACACGGCCCAGCAGGGCCCTCAGCACAGGAGCGGGGAGCCGGCCTCGCAAGCAAGGAAGCCTGAGGCACGGAGCCACCAGTGCTCTAGAAGCAAGGGAGCAACATCACGGAAACGCCCCGGAGCAACATGCTACCCAACAGAACTCGGTGCCCAGCCCACGTGGCTCAATGGTTGAGTGTTGACCAGGGGGTCAGGGTTTGATCCTGATCAGGGCATATGCCCTCGTTGTGGCTCAATCCCAGCATGGGACGTGCAGGAGGCAGCCAATCAATGACTCTCACCATTGGTGTTTCTCTCCCCCCCTCCCCCTTCCTCTCTGAAGTCAATGATATATACGTTTATATACTCAATGAAAAAGAACTTTGGGGCCAATAATCAGGACCCATGGCAACCTGGGTTCTGGAGGAGACGCCTCAGGTGCGGACCCGGGACTGGTAGTCCTGGGAGGCTGGCTCAGGGCCACCCCCCTCTGGCTGGGAGGCTCGCCTCCGTGAGTGACCTTTCTGCGTTAGCGGGACCACCCCCGAGGTCACAGAGCCCCAGGCCGGCAGGAGCCGGCTCTGCTGCTGCTGCTGCCTGCGTGGTGTGGTCAGACCTCCGCGGACGAGGGTCCCTCCTGTTCGGCAGTCACCCAAAGCTTACAGGGACTGCCCGGACGCCTGCCTCCCCCCAGCGGTGACCTCTCCTCTCCCTTCGTCCCCCAACGCCACCAGCAGCGCCCGCGTCCTGGGCCGGGCTCCGCAGACACATACATTGTCGTCATCCTCTATGGCCTCCCCTGTGAAGTACAGCACGGCCCTCGGCACTATCCGCTCACGGAAGAAGTGTCCAATCTCAAAGTCAGAGGCTAGCGTGAACTCGGAATCTTCATCCTGAGAGGGAAGCTGCACAGTCACTCCCTTCAGTGGGACTGGCCCACGTTTCCATGTCTCCCCCCCCCCCCCCCGGGTGACAGCGCCCCAAGTTCAGCTGCTTTAAAGGCACAGAGTGCAATGCAGGAGGCAGAAGTGCAGCCATATGGGCAACACGGGCTGTGTCCCAGGGCAGAGGGCAGTGGACACACATCCCCCACCCCCACCCCCGGTTCAGGGAAGAGGAACAGCTCGCAGAGCAAGTAGGTATCTAATTAGGAAACAGATCTATCAGCCAAGTAGGAGCCCTCAATAACGCCACAAATCTTACCAGCGATTCTCCGTCCCCGGATGCTAGAAAAAACAGAACACACCGTTACACCGAGCAACAGAACGGCCAGCGGAGCGCCTCCAGCTCAGCTTTAACCTGTGCCTCCTGGTGGGCGCCCACAGCACCCATGCCCGCTCCCCCGCACCCTAGGTGGGCACCCAGCTGCAGGAGGCCAACCCCGTGAGGCCCTGATGGCTGTTTAAACGTGCAGGTGAAGGCATGCCGAGTGGCGCGGACTGTGGCCACGGAGCACTGTGCCGAGTGGGCTGTGACTCCTGTCCTGCAGAGCCTCGGGGGCTGTGTGGTAGCAGAGGTCAGGGAGGCTCCCGAAGGTCAGCACTGCGCTCCGTCTGCGAGGAGGCAGGAGCGAGCATGCTGCCCCCTTGCTGTGGGGGAGAAACTGCCCTGTGGGCCGGGGCACTATCCCTGCCCACCCAGAGCACCTCAGCTCCACACGAACCATGACGCTGAGTCGGTTCCACATACGACACAGACTGTGCTGGACTGAGGGTGACGGCAGATCAGGAACCAGACCTCAGTGAGGCCAGTGACATCCAATTGATCAAGGGACTGGAATCCCTAATCTCAGCGGTGCTGGGCGAGGCCCTCCCTGAACTGCGGGCCTCATTCCTGCCTGTCCACCCTCTGGAGTCCCCGCCTCTCCCCAGGCTGTTTCAGATTCAGGGCTGGGGCCCGGGCTCAGGGCTCGGGATCAGCCCACGGACCTCCCCAACTTGACTTCTGGACCCGTTTTGTAGGTTTAAGGACAGAGGCCGCTGGACTGGCCATTTTGTTTCTTTCATTTCAAAAATCACTTCATCCATTCTGATGTCTTTCTGGCTACCCCGCCCTGCCCCTCGCGCACCCCGTTTTCATGGAGCTCATCACGGGTAGGGATGTTCGTGTGATTGCTGTGACCACAGCAACATGGAGTCATGACGCACATCCCAGAGCTCGCCCCATGAGGAGTGCAGCCGTGCTGCCACCAGTTCTCGGGACCACCCACAAAGGACCAACCCCGCCCATGAGTGTCCTTGGTTCCATTTGACCTCACCAAGTATTTTAAGGAAACTCCCCAAAATCAAAGCGCATCGGTGTCCTAACTCCACGCAGGCTCCGCGGGACCTCCCACACAGGGACACTAAGGGGCCACGTTTATGGCTGTTCTCACACCCCAGCCCGCTCACTGGCACCTTCTGGGCCCCAAGACAAGCCACAGAAAACATCCACAATGACGAGGAGACAGGACAGCGTGGGGAGCGGGAGTGGGAGGAAGGGGCACTGGGCTCAGAGACAAGGTCAAAAGTAAAGGCTCAGCCAAAACCGGTGTGGCTCAGTGGATAGAGCGTCCAGCCTGCGGACTAAAGGGTCCCGGGTTCGATTCCAGTCAAGGCCATGTACCTTGGTTGTGGGCATATCCCCAGTAGGGGGTGTGTAAGAGGCAGCTGATGGAAGACTCTCTCATCGATGTTTCTAACTCTCCTCTCTCCCTTCCTCTCGGTAAAAAAAAAAAAAGGAAAGGCTCAGCCTGAGGAGCTGCTGAGCACTGTGTGTCCTGCGGCAGAGCTGGCAGCTCATCGCCAGCTGGTTTGCAGGGGGAAGGTGAGGCAATGGGTGTCTGCGCGTGAGCACAGCGGCTGCTCCGCTTCACGTCCTCAGGGTCCGGAAACGACACTCAGATGTCCAGTAACTGCCTCTCAGAGTCAGAGCTCGCCTTCCTGCTTGGACCACCTTTATTTTACAACTCGGGGCAACCACGCAGAACGGAAGCTTCCAAGCTCTGCTTCGGGCCCAAGTTTTCCCGATGGTGACCTAGACACCGAGCGCCACGACAGGCACATTTCCAAACGCCGGCCCCACCGCGGCCCAGGTGAGGCAGAGGCGGGCAGCTGCGCCAGTGACCGCAGTGCGCAGTGAACACACTCCACAGAGCCGAGCTGCGAGCTTGTGCCACAGAGCCGAGCTGCGAGCAGCCTGGGACAGAGGGAGGCGTGGGAGGTCCCTGCAGGCACTCGGAGCTTTCTACAATGGAGCTTGGGGTGCTGTCCCGGCCTCCCTTCCTGCTGCAAGGACCCCTGCTGCCCCCGGCACCTCATGAGCACAAGTGCCTGTGGCACAGCGCCGTCCATTCCCTTAGCAGCCAGCTCGCCTAGGGACCAGAACTGGGCTCTGAGGCTTCGAGCTCTTACAGAGGCACAGGTCCCGCTATCCAAAGCAGAGGGTTCCTATGACATGTTCTTAGGCGGCCAGCGGAAAGCCAAGCAGCAATTATCGTTCATTTAGGTGGAAATGTCTTCAGTGTTCTCAGAACCAAAAACCAATCTCCAATCACACCAAATCGCACCCAAAGCCTAAAACAGCCCCGTACGAGGTGAACACAGAATGCCGTGATACACGCGCTCTGCACGCCTGCCACCCGGCGCATTTACCCACGGGTCCCCGCTTGGCTGCTGGCACCAGCCTGGCAGCTTTCAAGGCGTCCTCGGCCTGCCTGTGCGGATGGCGGCTGCAGGCAGGATCAGCGCACGCACCGTCTTTCTTTTGCTCACGAGGATGGAAATCCCGCCCGACCTCATGAGAGCGTCCCCCTGTGGAGCTCTCAGGCTCTGCTCCCACCTCAGTGTGCGTCCTGCTAACAAACGCGTAGGGCCACGGCAAAGCCCAGGTCCCACTGCCAGAGCTGGGGCTGGGGGCGACGGTGCTGAGCGTGGTTGTGGGAGGGGCTCTCTGGTCGAGGTGCCCCGTCCCAGCAACGGCCTGTGCAAAGGAAGGCTGCGTGCTATGTCCCTTCTCACCTTCTCTTGTAAAACCAAAACCCTCTCCCGTTTCTCCGGTCAGTGAGAGGCGCCGCCCTGCAGGTCTTTTGTAAGAGCCAAGCAGCGGGACAGGGGCTTCTGGAAAGCAGGGCCACCTGCCCATCAGCCTCGTGGCCACCTCACCTTTCAGCGGGCTGAAGAAGTTGAAAAAGGAATCATTGGGGACTTGCTTGGTGATGGTTCTGACGGTGCCTCGACCCTTGTGTTTCTGCTTTTTCTTGATGGTTTTGACGGTGACGTTTTTCCCTTTCTTCCAGTCGATGGTGCACCTGCGGGGAAGACAGCCGTCAACACACTCCACAAGAAGAGCCGACATGTGGTGACAGCACACTACGCTGAAGCTGAAGCTGAAGCTTCACGAACCCACCTGCAGGCACGTATCCACACCCAGGAAGCTCACCTGCAGGCAGACCGAAACCGGCAGCCTGCCTCACCCTGACCTCACCCGGACCGGAAGCACTGCCGCCAGCGCGGCTTCTGCAGCCAAGGGCGCCAGCGCCCTGGCCCTCCGCGGGCTGGAGGCGTGTGCGTGTCAGCCCAGGCTGCAGCGTGTTTCCTGCAAAGAACCCCAGGCACCTCCAGAACCGCTCACTTGCAGCCCCTGGACAACCCCCCATCCCCATGAAGTCACCACTCAAACCCCAATTTTCAAGGCAACTGAGCGGGACAAGCTGGAGAAGGGAAAGTAGGAAGGGCCGTGCACAACACACAACTCCTGGTATGCTGAGGGCGGGCAGGGCACAGCGAGCGTTCTCACCGCTGAATCACCGCGGACCAACAGGGAGCGCCTGGCAGCACTAAAAGCCTGGAGAGCCATGCCCATCTCCCGAGGGCTGCCCTGGCCGTGTGAGCCCAGCCGGGCCTGAGTCTGAATCACCAACAGGGAGCATTGTGAGGACGAGCACTAGGTTCAGTGAGTCAAGTAACGTCTCAACCGCTAAAAAACAAGCGCCAAAGCACTTCACACGCCCGGGAGGAGTGACTCAGACCACACGCTCTCCCTGGCGACCGGCACCCTGAGGCCGCCAAGGTGCACATCCCAGAGTCCAAGGACAAGCACGGCGCCCGAATCTGCAGAGCGAGCCGCTGGCCGCACTGCCCTGCACTGACCACCACCACCACCACCACCACCGGGCTGACGGCCACGCCTCACTCTGGGGCCTGGGGAACCGATCCCCTCCCGAAAACGAGGGAGCCGGACCACTGCCCCAAAGCCTTCACTCGCAACCACGTGATCCATCCCTCAGCGCCGCCATCACATCCGCAAACAGAAAACGACTTCCTTGTGGTCTCCTGGCTTTGGGCAAGTTCCAGACCTCCAGCTTCAGCCCATTTCTCTCTGACCAAGTCCTCCGGCGAACGGCGCTCCTTACCCGTCACAGTCGACTATCTCGGGGCCTTCGAAGGAGAAGGGGTCAGCCTTGTCCGGCTCGGACTTCATCTTGTAGGTCTTGGTCAGCACCGAGTTGGTGAAGTAGTCGTTGGGCTCAAAGTGGAACTCTAGCACAAAAGACTGAGACAGAAACGCAGAGTGAGCGCCCCTGACATCCAGACACCCAGGATGGACTCGGTAAGCACAGTGCTTCCCGGACCAGCTCCCTCAGCAGCACACACAGGCAGGAGCCAACAGCATGGCGACGGAATGAGAAAAAAGTCTTTACCGCCAAAAGCAGCGGCACAAGGGGAAGCCAGTGACCTCATTCCTGTCCTGTGGGGCTCCCCCCGTGGAGGGGGAGTGCTTGGCGGGTGGAGGGTCTGAGGGAGAAGCTGGGCATCGACAGCCCGCCCTCTCCTCTCCCCCCCGGGTGCAGGGTCCAGGGTGCGGGCAGAGCTCAGCTGTCTGCTCTGCAGTGGAAGTGGCAGGACCCCAAGGGGGGAGGACAGTAAACACCGCCACACAGGGAGAATGGACACGGTGTGCAGAGCAGCAGTCATGGCCTGCACGGAGGTCACGCACACTCAGGAGCACGGAGCAAATGAAAAGTAAAATAAAACGTAGTCTACTACTGTTCTGGGAAACCAAGAGCACTCACACAGGTAAATAGCTTTACAAATTGTTTTTTTTTTTTCAAGTTTTGGGTTTACAAATTTCCAGTATGTTTTTTATATGTACCACACATACATACACACACACGCACACACTAGAGACCCGGTGCACCAAATTCATGCACGGGGATAGGAGGGTCCCCCTCAGGGGATGTCTACCGCTCACAATCCGGAACCGCTAGCTCCTAACTGCTCACCTGCCTGCCTGCCTGTGTGCCTGATTGCCTAACTGTCCTCCGTCCTGCCAACTGCCTGCCCCCCATGGTCTGGTCACCCCTATTACCCCCCTCTACCCTCCCCCCTGCCAACCTTGTCACCCCACAGCCTTCTGTTTAGTCGTTTGGTAGTCCCTCACTAACTCCCCTGCCGGCCTTGTCGCCACAGGCAACCTACTAGTCGTGATGGCATCCTAGACAATTTGCATATTCCTTTATTATTACTGATTCCAGAGAGGAAGGGAAAGGGAGAGACAAACATCATGATGAGCGAGAAATCACCAATCAGTTGCCTCCCACTTGCCCCCAACTGGGGATTGAGCCTGCAACCCAGGCATGTGCCCCGGACTGAACTGAACTCAGCAAACCTCAGTCCACAGGCTGACACTCTAGCTACTGAGCCAAACCAGCCAGGCCTATACGTTTTTTAAAAATACATTTTTATTGATTTCATAGAGGAAGGAAAAGGGAGAGATAGAAACATCAACGATGAGAGAATCATGAATCGGCTGCCTCCTGCATGCCCCACACGGGATCGAGCCTGCATCCCGACCACCGGGACCCCAACCAGTGACCTCGCTTCCCGGATCAATGCTCAATGGCTGAGCCACACTGGTTGGGCTGTAAATAGCTTTCTGAAGGTGACTAGGCAATACCTAAGTAAGTAATGAAATAGACACCGCCTGTGACCTCATTCCTGTCCTGAGGAAGGCCTTCTACTCGAGGAGATGCTGAGTGGACGCAGGAAGCTGTGCGCGTCCCCTCGCCTCCGCCCGCTGACCAAGGACAGAGAAGCCTGTCCTGGTTGAGGAACGAGCGGCTGTGAAGGCCACATCGGAGTTCAGACTGCCGGGGGCAACCCCACTGCTCAGGTCACTGTGTGGTTTTGGGAAGTTTCTGCGCCTTCCTCATCTGTGCAGTGAAAATGACACCCCCCTCCCGACTGAAGATTGATCCATGGACGCAGCACTCAGAACACAAAAGGGGAGTGAGACAGGCTTCTCCGAAGAAGGGGTGAAGGGAGAGAGGCCACGACAGCAGAAGCGCACAGACGGGAGCGCCAGTCAGTGCTGGAGGAATGGCAGAGGGTCTGGCCAGGAGATGTCCCCTGGCCTTTCAGAGCCACGGGGGCTGGAGAGGAAGGATGATCAACAAATACAAGACACTGGTCTGGCGGGTCCAGGCTCAGCAGGACAGGGAGGACGCCGTGGGAACCGGGTCCCTGTCCCTCCCTCCCAGCGTAAAGACGGAGATGGGAGGGACCACTGGGCCATGCCCACAACGTGGGCCCGCAGGGCGAACAAGCACTGTGTGGGATTCGGTCCTTCCGCACCCAGTCTGTCGGGGAGAGTTCTTCCCTTTCCCCTCCCCTCAGGTCCTACCACCCAGTGTCACTTCTCTTCTTCCCGTTTTCTGACTTTCCCTTTCCCGTGGCCTGTTTAGTAGGGGTGTCGAACTCAATCAGAGAAGGGGCCAAAATCTAAAATCCAGCCTAAATCGCGGGCCGAATAGTTTACTGAACAGTCATAAACTGTCATTGTGATGGAAACGCAGCGGAGTGCAGTGATGACAGCGCGGTGCGGGCCACATTGCAAGGAAGGCCTGGCGGGACGGATTTGGCCCTCGGGCCTTGTGTTTGACACGTGACAGAGTGACCCAAAGACACTGGGGTGAACTAGTGTCTAACGGACCAACAAAAAGGCCCAAGGGTGAGGCCTCCGCCTTCGTGCCCGATCCCACACTTGTTAATGGTGATCTCTACCCAGCAGTAGAGTCGCTGCTGCTGTCTTCGCCACAGTCACACCGAGACTAGAAGATTCTCTGTGCTGCTTGGAGTTACTCCAAAATAGAGACCAATAAAGATCGCTATTACAAAAAGGGAGTGCAAAGACATATTGCCAGCAGGAGCAGACTGACGGCCTCTGGGCCTCACTGATGCTCACCTCCACTGGCCCAGGCATTCCACGAACAGCCTGTCAGAAGCTTCAACAAAGATCCGGGTTCCAGGACGCTGACTGACCACGATGCAGCCATTCAGAGCGGGCGGGGTGGGCATACAGGGAATGCGAAGGAACCATCTACCCCAACAGGTGCAGGAAGGATGCCGTCCCACCCAGCGAGCGCGTGGTGTGGAAGAGCAGCAAACAGTGTCTCAGGCCCTCACTTCACGCCCCTGGCTGCCGCGTGGGGGCAGTGGCCGCGGAGAGGGGAAGGGAGGTGGGGGCGGGGCGCTGGGCCCTCCATTCTGAAGCTGGGCTTTCTCTTTGGGCTCTAATGTCCTAGGTATTTCAGACACTTGACAGGACGAGGCTGAGGGAGACGGGCTGGGGCATCTCTCTAGGCGCTGGAGACCATCTGATTTCCCAAGTTTCCAGAGTGAGCACCAGGACCACGAGGAACACTGGCTCATGGCCTCCCCGCTCGGGCTCTCCTCCTCGGGGAGCCACATCCGACACATTGCGAGAAAGGAAGGGAACCAACGAAAAAGGAAACGCCAATAAAGTGAATCCAGATGAGTGACAGGCGAGAAAGCACTGGAAGGAAAAAACTCGCGGAATCTTAGTGCTCACACGGGAAAGAGCATTCACATCTATCAGACTGCCATGGCCACAGGCGGTCCCCGGGGGGCGCCCTGACAAAGCCTCTGCACAGAGGAGCCCAGACTGGGAGGGGCTGAGAGGAGGGCCCAGGCTAGCCCAGAGGCTGCCGGAGGAGGAAGGAGTCGCCTGGACACCAGAGTGGCCCTCAGCCTGAAGAGGCATCTGTGGCTCAGGCCCACCCCTCACCTGCAGAGGGAGGGCGGATGTCACTCCCGGAGCACAGCAGGGAGGGGAAGGGACATACATAGGCATGTCTCCCTGTCCACCTGTAGCCTAAGGAAGAGAACTCCCAGTCACACTGGCCCCGTCCCCTACCTGGGCTGGTGCTCTGTGACAGGAGGGACAAAGGCCAGGCTAGCTCCTGGCCAAGGCCCTCAGCCCACAGCACAGGTGCTGTCTCCAAGACCCGAACCTGAGAGCCACCATGAGCCAGTCAGCCGCGTGTCGTGGGGACTGCTGTGGCGCCGGAATGGAGCCAGACCAACAGGCCACGAACAGCGCTCCTGCGAGCCGGCTCCCGGAGAAGAGGGAGCTGGCTGAGCCTCACTGGCAGGCAGACCCCCACACGCACTAACACTCGGTGACCTGGAAAGGGGGGTTTGTGACAAGTGAGGGCAGGGGATCATATTTTTAGTCTTATCTGCATTCGAGGATGTTTTTATTGCTTTTTTAGAGAAAGAGGAAAGGGGGGAGGAGGGAGAGAGAGAGAGGAGGAGCACTGATGTGAGATAGGAACATCAACCAGTTGCCTCCCGCACACGCCCTGACTAGGGATCCAACCTTAGCCTGGGTGGTGCCCTAACTGGGCATCGAAACCATGACCTCTTGATGGACGAGATGAGCTCCAACCCAGGCCCGGGCCAGGTGCTCTGCAGGTGCTGGGGGAACAGACACTGGGAGGTCCCTGTCCAGTGCTGCTCACACTCAACCAGTCTATCCTTACCTCCTTTCAAACCATTTCAAAGACACGAGATCCTCAAAAACCCAGGAGCCACTCAGGGACAGGATGGCAGAGGCACGAGCTAGTGAGAAGCCACGGCACCTAAGTGGACACCATGTGGGACGGAGGAGTCCAACCCTGCCGGCTCCTGCATCTGCCCCCCCTGCCAGGCTGCCCGAATCCTCAGGAGGCATCTGGCTCATGTCACGCACATGAGTGATGGGCTGTCTTCTTGCCTGGACCCAAGCCCCTACTTTACCTTCCGTGGCCTGACGCCCCGACTCCCCCCAGGAGCGCCGTCGGTACTCACCATAGGCTGTCCGGGGTCTGAAAACTTCACTTTAATATCCTGCAGGTGTTTCAAGATTGGCTCATCGTATTCCTACGCACAAAGAGAAGAAGAAACCTGAGCTTTCTGAGACCACACCCGTCCTTGCCGCGTTGCTGCTGTGTCCCTTTGGGTGGTGGACGCGGGGCCCTGGTGGGTCCTCTTCTTGCCAAGGAATGACTCCTGGGAGCCACGCAAGCTGCTGCCTGACAACTGGTCTGAGGGGCAGTGCCTTCAACACTGAGACCAGGGCCTGGCTGCTCTCACAGTGCAGTGCTGGGGCTCGGTGCCATCAGCCAGCACTCTGATCCTGAGCACTCTGAAGAGACAGAATCACAGAATCACCTGGATCAACCAAACTCCCATCCCACCGCCATTAGCAGGTGGCACTAAATCTCCCAAACCCACAACACAGCCACGAGGCGTGCCAGAGGCCTGCAGCCCAGGGATCACCCGAGAGCTTCCAACACTGGCTGCACAAGTTTACCCTGAGTGTCACTCAAACGCAGTTTACCAACGTCTTCCTCTGAGGAAGTCCGAGAGAGAACAGAAAAGGAAGACGAGACTCGAAACCCACAACCACATTCTAACCAGAAGTGCTCCATTTGCGTGACTTCTTGATATTATGAGAGGAAGGGAGGAAAGAGAGGGAGAGAGAGAGAAACATTGATAGGGTGCCTCCCACATGCACCCAGGGATCAAACCCACCACCTTTGTCTGTGCCCAGGTTGATATGCCAACCACTGAGCCGCACCGGCCAGAGCAAACAGTTATTTCTTTGCCCCTGAAGCCTGGGGACTGAACTGAAAGATCTCTTGAGGTTCCACCAAGTTCTAAGAATCGAGCCTGATAAATATCAAGTTCCCAATATCAAATTCTTTTGACATAGACATAGAATAACAAAACAGCAACAGCCAGGCCCATAGCACGTCTAGACAAAAGCCACGGCAGTTTGAGATGTCAGAACTGCCCCCAGAGAACACCGGCTCAGACTGCACGTCACTGGTGTGCCGTGTCTCATGCCAAAGGCCAAGGGGAACGTCACCACCAGCATGCTGCCAGCGAGCTGCCCTCATGTGGGACCGTCCACTTCTCCCTCACCCGCAGTGCCCTCTGCCATGTCCCGGCCATGAAATGACACCGTGCCCCTCCGGCCTCGAGGACAAGAACTCCGCGGTGGTCCCGACTGAGCCCGATGACAGCTCCGAATGGGCCACAAGCCCAGCCCTGGGCACGAGGGCTGAGCGGGAGCTGCTGTCCAGACCCTCTCAATCCTCCTGCAGCACCCGCTCTGCCACCCCCATGCCGAGCACCAAGCACTCGTTGAGCCCATCTTCGGGAGTTAACGTCTGACCCGAATGGCACCGCAGGCCACAAACACTGTCAGGTCAGTGCCAACGACCTCTCCCTCTCCCTCCTATAGAGAAACGCTCTGGACACGCCAGCTGGTCTTCCCGCAGCTTTCAGACACGCTGCACACAGGAAAGTAGGCGGTGACCCCAGAGGTGCTGGGAGAATGAAGGTGACGCCTCTCGGAAGCAGGCCTAAGCTTCCTACTGCCCTCAACACCAGGAGCTGCATGGAGGCAGCAGCCACGCCACCCCAGCACCAGGAGCCAGGTTATAGTCAGTCACCTACTGGCCCCAAATTCTGGTGCGGACCCAGTCACACCTCTCTGCTACTGACAAGCCTGCCACACACCCAGCAGCACGGGTACCACCAGTGGCACACCGCAAAGCAGTCCCTCAGGCCCACCCAGACCCGAGAAACCAGGCCTGCGTGCTGCAGGGATGGCACACCCACCGAGGTCTGAGCACCACCCAGTCCTCTGCGTAGGGACTTCCCGCCCCGGGGCACCCCAGAATCTGGGAACTTCTACCGACACCGGGGACTGCCAGTGACGTGGAGACAGAGGCATGGAGGCTGCTACTGAATTTTGTTTTGTTTTTCTTTGCTGTTGTTTTAAAAGCTGCCCAGGTGCCCGGATGGCATGGCTCAGTAGTTGAATGTCAACCTATGAACCAGTGGTCGCAATTCAATTCCCGGGTTGTGATCCATGATTCTCTCTCATCACTGATGTTTCTCTCTCTCTCTCCCCCCCTCTGCCTTCCTTTCTGACATCAATGAAATCATTTTTTGGGGGCAGGGGTGCCCAGGTGATTCTAAAAAGCAGCCTGGGTGGTCTGCACAGAGCACAAAATCTTCCCAATGAGTTTCTGGCGCGTGGCAGGATCTGGTTTTCCTAAATCCGACCTGAACTTCTGTGTGAAGGGGCTCGGGCAGGAACACAGGCTACAGCAGGCACGTGCTTCAGACGCAGCCTGTCAGCTGAAGGAGAGCAGGAAACGCACCCTCACACCCTTTCCTGAGTCTCTGCCATGGACACTGCCCGACGGGCGTGCTTCACGGTTCAAATGCCCACCGACGGAGAAGTGTAACCAGCACGTGTTAGCGCGCGCGTACATTCACAGCCCTCACTGCCCCCGTCCACATCAGTGAGCTGGAGAAGGGCTGCCCTCGCTGGGTGATCAGGGTCAGTGCACAAGGCTGCAGGTTCCGTCTCCAGCCGGGCACACACAAGGGGCAACCAATGAAGGCAGAAATACGTGAACAAACTGATCTTTATGCTTCTTTCTTCCCCCCTCCCTCCCTCTTCTCTAAAATCAATGTTAAAAAACAAAACAAAGACAAAAAAAAGCCATGAACTTTTTTAAAAGGAAGAACAAGAAATGGAAGGGGGCTGGAACCTGCTGACAGGCTTTCTGGCTGAGGCCACAGCCCTTCCCAGGAGGCGGCCGCAGGGCAACGGCTCAGGCGGCAGTAGCAGAGGTGTGACTGGGTTCGCACCAGAACAGCCCTCCTGGGAGGGGCCAGAGTGCCTTCCACCCACAGTGCACCACCGAGGAACCCCAGCGAGCAGCTCACCCCGTCTGAAGACCACCCTTCCGCCCGGGAGAAGCGTGCTCACCTGGACCAGCTCGCTCAGCATGTCCACGTTTCTGAAGATGGTGAACCAGAACTCGGGAATCCCTTTGGGGGCCGGCTCCTCCGCCGCCTCGGCTTCTTTCTCCGCGATGACCACTTTGCTTTTCATGTCTCCCTAGGAGCAACGGTGAGGACAGTAGTCACCACACAGCAGCAACTCACCAACATTCCACGGCTGACGCAGAGGACCCTTCCAGAACCCGCACAGACACTATCGCAAACCCGTGTCCTTTGACCCTGCATGCACGATGTAAAGGTTTCCGAGACAAAGCATTCAAGGCACTCGGCCCAGACACAATTCGGCCAAAGAATTTAAATTGGTGGAAAAAGAGGGGTCAAAGACCACATACCGGAAAGGCCATGCAGTGCTGGCCCCACAAGGCCCCCACCTGGAATGAACTCCAGTGGCTTCTGCAACCAGAACCGCCAGCCATTTGTGCACCATGGCCAGGGAGATGGCTCTACCCGCCACCGCAGCCGGAGGCATGTGCCCAACCAGGTGGTGACCAGAGAGGCCAGTGCCCGTGTAGACACAGGGCCCTGGAGGGAGGGAGACGTGTGCACAGGCCGCGGGAAGGTGCAAGGGCTGTGCCCCGGGGACCTGCCCAGGAAACGGCAGAGGCAGGTTTTTCTTGAACAGAAGGACCTGATTCACAAGGACACTGACCGGCAGCCACAGCTACAAGCAGGTCAGGCTCTGCATGTCTTTAGACCCACACACATGGCTACCAAAACTAGCACACGCCTCAAAACGCCCCTGAAAGGGAGCTTTCCAGACAGATGCTCCTTGTCTCCCAAACACAAGGTCAGGCTGACAGTGAACCGATGGCACTGGAACGGGACCGGCAGGCAAAAGACTGCGAGCATGTGAAGGACGGGCCCGTCACGGAAAGGACCAGTAACCCACTGACCTAACGGGGCCAGTGGTGAGGGAGTTCCCGATACACCCTCCTCACCACACCCGCCTGCTGTGCCCAGCACCGCACGCCTGGCGAAGCCTGTCACTGAGGCTTGACAACCTCGCTCATTGGCTCTGGGATCTCAATGCAGACAGTGCAGAGCTGTTCAGGTCACTGAGCGGGGTGGGGAGACTGCCTGGGCCACTGCACGAGCTGATGGCGCCGTCAGACGCCAGGCCCGCAGCTGCTCGGTATCCAGCCACGAAGAACCCCAGCGCCTGGCCTCGGGGCGAAGCAGCACTTCCCGAGAGAGCTTTCTCCGCCAGGTCAGACTTGTACCGGGAGAGAACGCAGGCGGCGCTCACTGAGAGCACAACTTACAGCCAGTTTGTCCTCCTCTTCGTTCTCGCTGTGCCACTCCGACTCCGCATCTGTCGGCTCCACGTCACCAGTGACAAACTCCCTTCTCTAGATGAGAGCAGATCTTCTTAGTTATCACTTGGAAAGGCAGGCCCACGAGAAGGCTGAAGCCTTCTAAGACTCGGCCTGGGACTTAAGCGCAGCTCGGGGCCATTTCCTGGGCAGGTCTGAGCCGCGCGAAGCGGGGGCGCCCACCTTGTCGAAGAGAGGCTGGTAGAGTGCCGCGTACTTCCTCTCCAGGTCATGGACCTCCTCGTAGAACTTGGCTTCTATGTGAGCACACTTCACCTGAAGCTGTTTCAATGCGTTGATTCTTCTTTTCACAGCTTTAGGTAAACTAAAGAGAAAGCAGAAAAGAAACTGCCACATGCTTACAAAACCAAAGTGGTATGCTTTTCTGTTTTATAGAATAAATTTAGGTTAACACAGAATTAACATCCTTGCTATGAAAAAGAGCTAAAACCGTTTACAAAGGCCCAACCGGCGGGCTCAGTGGCTGCGTGTAGACCTATGAACCAGGAGGTCACAGCTCAATTCCTGGTCAGGGAACAGGCCTGGGTGGTGGGCTCGATCCCCAGTGGGGGACTTACAGGAGGCAGCCGAGCCACGATGCTCTCTCATCACTCCTGTTTCTCTCTCTCGCTCCCTCTCCTTCCTCTCTGAAATCAATAGAAATGTATTTTAAGAGGGACACACATCCCAACAGGGAGAAAAAACAGTGTGAAGGAAGCTGAGGAAATAATTCACAAAATAAAAATCAAACACAGAAGAACCCTCTTAATTTTTAAGATATTTTCGTTGATTTTGAGAGAGGAAAGGAGAGTAAGAGAAGCATTGATGAGAGCAGAACACTGATCGGCTGCCTCCACCATGTCCCCACCAGGGATTAACCTCACAACCCGGGCATGTGCCCTGACTGGGTATCGAACAAGCAACCTTTGGGTACGGGGACAACACCCATCCAACTGAGCCACACCAGCTAGGGCTGTCCAGTCTCATTCAACGTCCAAAGGAACGTCAATGACAAAGCACTGCTGTCCTGCTGCTGTGGCTCACCAAGGACCCCGCGCTGGGTAAGCCGTACCCAGGCCACCTGAGCGTGAGGGGTCACGCCCCGGCCGAGTGCGGGAGGCGGGCACAGGCAGCGGGTTCACAAGAGGACACGCACTGCCCCGCCCGCTTCCCTGCACAAGCTACACGTCTTGAAATCACTTTCTAACTTGTGTTCCTCGTGCAGTGAGAGCCGAAGGCCCCAAGCACACTGGTCCCTGCTGTGACCTGGCCATCGGAGGCAGCGACAGAACAGCAGCCTCCCACAACAGGCACTTCCCGTGCAGCGTGTCTGCCCACAAACCCTGGCCCCGCTCTGAAGCACTGACAGCCTGCAGAGGCTCCAGCCAGCTGCCAAGGGCCTTCTATCTGGGCAAAGCGGACCTAAGGCCCCCCTCCCCCCAACAGCCTGCAACACGGGGAGCCGTGCACCGGAACTCGGAGAGTGGGGCGTCCTGCAGAAGGAAGGCCACCGGCCGGAAGAGCGCTGCCTTTGCTGGCGGCTCCACGACACGCCTCTCCTGGAAGAGCCGCTGGTGGTGCTGCAGGCGCGGCAGGTGAGTCCGGGAGGAGTGGCTGGCAGCTGACAGCCACCAGGAGAGAAAGCCTTCCGCCCTCACCGGCACCCGGTCCAGCCAACTCCGTCCCTGTGCTGCTGGCTCACAGGCTGCAATCGCCACTACGGGCCCAGTGGTCAGAGCGCCCTCCTGCTGCGTGCTTTCTACAGGTCTGAGCCCCTCGGCCCGACCCTGAACCCGAGCCAGCACGCCTCGCCGGAACCAGAGCCTGGCTCAGCAGGCTCTGCCGGATGGAAGCACCATTCCAATTTAAGGACAGGGCAGTCGCTTCCCTCCTCCGTTCCCGGAAGTGGACCACGCCTCACGCCCAGGCACTTACGTCTCGATGTAGCTGGAAGGAGTGTGGGAGACGCTGTCGAGCCGCTCCTGCAAGGCTGCCAGCACCTGGGGGTTCTGCATCACCTGGTCGGTGAGCTTCTCTGCACGTTGGAGACAAGGCGGAACAATCACCACACGCCCACCCGTGCAGCCAAGCCCCATCCCCACACCGCCTCTGAGCCTGCTCACCTACTGAGCTGCTAAACATGGCCTGTGGCTGGGGAAAACACCACCTGAGGTGCCCTCCGAAGGCACCGGATAGTCTGTTCATCCCCAGAGCGGGTGATACAGCCTGAGAGGGCCCTAGAGACTTCTGGTCTCATCGTGGCTGCGTAAGCTCCAAATCTCCCAACCAAGGACACCGCCGTTTCCCATCACCTTGACTCCACGCCCCAAGTCCCACGTGGGCGCAGAAGCCAAGGACAGGGGTAAACCGACGGCTCCTCAGAGTGAGTCAGTGCCCACGTGTGCCCGGCACACAGCCCGGAAAGCCCGGCCTCACCCATCAGTTCCCTGGTGCGACTTCCCAAGTGCCCTCTGGTCTCACGGCACCATCCTCCTGCGCACACCCCCTCCTGCACCGCTGTCCTGACCAGCTCCTCGCAGAGGCCACATGGCCCTCGCAGGAGGGGAGCGTCACCCTGCTGCACTGTGACCGCCTGGGCCACTGCGGTCACGGCACAGACTCATTTGCTGAGCTGGCCCCTCTTCCTGCCACTGTGCAGCCAGACAGACTCACGGGGCGCAGCAGCCCTGGTGGGAACGTGCGTGGGCAAGCAGAGCGCACCAAGCAGGCCACCAGTTAGCTACACGCAACCACCACAGGAAGCGCTGTGTTTAACATCCGCAACTGTGTCCACACACAACCGTACACTGTGTGCACACACCTCTCACCTACACTTTGGTTTCTCTCTCTCTCCCACCAACAAAGACAGAGCCCCTAGACAACTGACAGAGCCAAGTCGGGGCAAGGCAAGTTCAAAGGAAAATGGACCATGGCTTGTGCACAAAGCTACTCCAAAAAAGCACTGCAAGTAATGGGACACAGCCAGCCTGAAGGACCCACTCTTCAGGGGGACAAATCGTGCACCCAAGAGAGTAGCAATAGCAACTCTCAACACTGACAGGCAAGTGACCCCCGTCCCTACAGTAACAGCTGTGGTCTGCGGCGGCACAGCCCCAGGCCATTACCGATGCAGCGAGGATCACCATGGTGCCGACACCAGGGGAGCGCCTCGGGAGAACGGCCCACGGGGCCAGCGCGGCCTTTAACAGAAGGACCCTCACCACGGAGGCCTGGCAGACGCTGTCTTAACGCGTCACCAACGCCAGCACCTGCCACGGCCCAACTGCACTTTCCGCTGCACAAGGTCCCCCATGTGGCCGTCTTGCAAAAAGTTCTCCCTGACTCTCAGGAGGGAAGGCAGAGCAGTCCAGAGCACGGGCATTCCACAAGACGCCGGGCACCGTGCCACTGCGCTGAGGGGAAGGGGCTGGGAGACTTCCCACGAGCTAGGCCTGCGGGGAGCAGGGCCGTGAGGAACCGCGGGGTAAGAGGAGGTACAGACACGACCCCACACACCGCCGCATCGATGTGCTTCTGGTGGTGCTTATGAGGAATCCTCCCAGTGTTCGGGGATTTCCACTAAATTGTTTTAGCGACTATCTTAGCCAATATATCCATAAAAAAATTCAGGGGGCCTTTTGGAACTGGAAGGGGAAAGGGTCCTGTGAACTTGTGCAAAAATGGGGATCTGGGATCTGCTTCAGAACCATCGGATGGAAAGAGCCTGGTCATTCATGAGTCACCGCTGACGCCAGGAGGTAGGCGCGTGACCTCTGCCAAGTCTGAACCGCCCGTGACACTTTCAGGCAGTGTCCTGGTTCTCATCTCATCACCAGGTTCTCCCCGGCTCTGAGGAGCCCTTTGTCAGAGCAGCTGCTCTTCCCGCCGCAGATGGTGCCGAATCCCGGGCGCAGACCCGCCTGCCCGCCAGCTCTCCTGGGGACACCCTCCCGCGGGGACTGACCTGTAGCACTGGCATCTTTAGCAGCTTCCGAGGAATCTGAAGGAGCCCCATCTGAAAAGCTAGAGCAACATGTTCCGTAAGGAAGGGTTACTGTGGACAAAGCCCCAAAGTTAAGTAGCACAGGGCGTTCTTCACACTTAACACGTCAGAGGCGTCAATAGAGACTTCAGATTTGATGGACGAGAACTACAGACACATGTGGTACATAACTTAACCACCCCATCCTCACCCTGGGCCCCCACATGCCACTCCCAACAGTTCTAATTTCCAACCCTCGTCAAAGCTTCTACATTCTTTCCTCTACCATTTCTTTCCCCAAATAATCTCCCTGCTCTGAAACCAAACCCACTACCCAACCAACAAGGACCCTGGTCTGCACGGCTGCTGACCAAGACTAGCCACCTTCCCCAGCTGGAGGACAGCGCCCCCCGCGGCTCTGTCAGCCGCCACAGGAACCAAAGGCTTGCCTGCAGCTCACCACTAGAATGTTCATTCTGGCTTACCTGTTATCTGCCATCTGAATGTCTTTATCTCCTGCAAGTAAAGGAAGAGTTGAAACAGTTACCACCCCTCAGCAATCAAACAAATCGTTTGTCAAATGCACCCTTCCACTAGCACTGTCCATGGGGATGCCAGCTACTTACTGGGGCGGCAGGGGAGAGGGACTTTCTGGGCGATGAAAAGTCCGAAATCTCGAATGGGGCACCGTCACCCATGTGCACACACTTATCAAAGCTCAAACCCCACATTAGGGAATGTACTTGTCAGTGTGTGCACACTTGACTCACAAACATTTCTCTTGTTGGGACTAAAATGACCAGCCTTCAGAATAAAAGCAATTCTAATTTGCCTTGTCTTTGTAAGTTCTGGCAACAGGAATATATGTTTATGCCAGGCCAACTACTTTAGAGCAATTCAAAGCATTTATTGGCAAGAACTTTTTTTTTTTTTTTTTTTAAGACACACAGACATGCCCTAACCAGTTTGGCTCAGTGAATAGAGCATCATTCACTGAAGAGTCCCAAGTTCGATTCCAGTCAAGGGCATGTACCTTGGTTGCGGGCACATCCCCAGTGGGGGGTGTGCAAGAGGCAGCTGATCGATGATTCTCTCTCTCATCGATGTTTCTAACTCTCTATCCCTCTCTCTTCCTCTCTGTGAAAAATCAATAAAGTAAAATTTAAAAATAAATAAATAAATAAATATAAATAAATAAATAAAAAACCCCTATGGTTCCGTTGAGTGTGCTCAGTGGTTAGAGCCCACAAACTTAAGGGCCGTGGGCTTGGTCAATGTGTCTCCCACAACGATGCTTCTCTCTCCCTCCCTCCCCATCCTTCCCTTATTTTCGTTCTCTCTGAAAAGCAATGGAAAAAGCATCCTCAGGTGAGGATTCACAACAATAATTCAGTATGCCAGGTTGACGTCAATTTATGAAACACAGCCCCGAGCCTCATCAGATGTTCCTCCTTCCAAAGGGCAGCCAAGTTAAAGGTGGAAGGGATGCAGGCAAAGACGTTCTAAGACTTCGAAGAATGCAGACCGGCATTCGGGCTCCCTCACGAGCCCGCGTTCCACGTGTGGACGGGCACACACGCTGCACGAAGGCACCGGTAAGCCCTGTGCTTCTCGTCCTCAAACTCACGGTCCTACTTTTACCTCAAACAACACACTCTTCAAGGGGAAATTTTTTTAAATTTTCGTGGCAAATTATCCAGCATTATGCTGAATCCTTAACTCTAAACTGAAATCATCTAGTCTACTGCTAGAGAAATATTATTTCCAATAGGGCCACTTGAGAGAGAAAGGAAGTGTGAGCTGGGGAACACAACTGACATGTTTACCACGTTATCATGTCTTATCACGTCAAAGAGCCCCGATGTCTCTTCATGAGGTAGATGAACGATTAGCCCACTGTACGCCATAAGCAGACGCAAGCGGCGGACCTTCCCCACTCCCCACACGCGCCTATAAAAGTTTTCCCTAAGTGGCAGCCCTGACCAACTTTAAAATCATTTTTTGTGAGAATTTTCAGCTGAAAATATTCAAGAACATTCAAATTGTGAGTAATATATTTATTTTCATAATATTCATTGCAAATTGATTTTTTAAATTAAATTTAAAACATCGTGGCGTGTGGGGATGGTTTCCGTTTTGGATGCGTGGCAGTTAACGGGTTCAGATCACCTCCAATGACAGACCAGAATCCCGTTAGTCTACAATTCTCATCCACTGAGATGGAATTAAAGTAAGCCTGTAGCACAGCTGCTGGGTTCACCCAAGTGAAGGATGGGGATCCCACCTCCGCACCATGGAGTCCCAGCAGCCCAGGGCCCAGGACCACACAAAGGGACCAAGGAGCCACCTGTTCTGAGGGGAGCACCACAAAGCCTGGCCCACTGGCCGCCGGGGCAGCCCCTCTCGTTTGCGGTGCTCCAATCATTGGTCCTTACCCAATCTACCGCTGCATTCTTTAGCATTTGAAGGTAATTGTGTGAGAACCAGTAAGCCAGAGATCAGTGAAAACAAATGTCAAGAACCAAGTAACTTACGTTAAGCTCCCAAACCAGTGGTCAATGTTCTCATTAAGCATAACCTTCACTTACCAATTCTAACAAGAGTCCTAGCCAGGCTCAGGGGATAGAGCCTCAGCCCGAGGACTGAAGGGTCCCAGGTTCCATTCTGGTCAAAGGCAGGTTTGATTTCGGTCAAGTGCACGTTATCTGTTATGGGTTGGATCCAGGATCAAGGCATGTGTGGTAGGCAACCAATTGATCTCTCTCATAGAAATTTCTGTCTCTCCCCCTCCCTTCCACTCTCTTTAAAAATCAAAGAAAAAATATCCTCAGGTGAGGACTAACAACAAAAAAGAGGTTTCTAGGACCTAAACATATTCAGACTGAAATTATATTCAAACTGATTCCAACCCTAAGTAATGATTGATAATCTAATTCAACATATACACACCTCCTTCTTCGGGCATCTATCAAAAGATTTCATTTCAAAAAGCACATATAGCCCAGCCGTGGGGCTCAATTGGTTGAACGTAATCCCATGCACCTACACATTCAATTCCGGTCAGGGAACATGCCGGGGTTTGGGGTTCAATCCCCAGTAGGGGGCGCACATCTCTCTCTCACCAACAGAAGTTTCTATGTCTCTCCCTGAAGTCAATAAAAACATACTTACCTACATCTATAGATACTATCTTTAATCCTCACCGAGACCCGGAATCAAACCCAAGGCCCTTCGGAGCATGGGCCGATGCTCTAACCACTGAAGTAAACCAGCCAGGGCAAAAAAAACATTTTTTAAAAAATAATTTTAAAAAACACATCTATTTTTCCAGAGGAACTGACAACTAATTAATTAAATAACAGACTACTAATGACTTCACACAGCTGTGCCTTAGGTACAGGAGATGACTGCTTTGTGAGTGTCTGAAGCCACTTCTTCCCATGTTTTAAAAGACAGGTCATCGATGGTGCCGCCTTCCCACTGACAAGCAAGCTCCCTGAGGGCAGGGCCTGCCCCTCGCTCAGCGCAGCAGCCCGCGCCCAGCATGGGCCTCGGCGGGGACAGAGGCCCAGCGTGTCGGCCCCCCTTGCTGCCGCTCACTGCTCCGAGTGTCACCTGGAAGAGCGAGCGCAGGGACCCGGAGCAGCCGGGCTGCCCCAGCGCGTTTCTGAAGCCGCACAGGCAGCCGTGTCTGCGCACCACGTCACGCTGCCACCAGGCACGCGTGGACTGTCTTTTTCAGAAACTTACTAGAGGCCGAGCCCTGTCTCCAGGAAGGAAATAAAAAACCAAAACTCTGTTTTTACTCAAGGCACATGGCCTTCCTTGCTATCCTCCGATTTCCTCCTCGGCTCAGTGCTGAGCTCATTAGCACGTGGCTGAGGAAGGCAAACTCCGGAAGTCTTAATCCAGTACGCAGACCCTGACACCCGCTCACCCTATTTAACACCAGGGCCCCATCCCCATTCCTACCCTCTGCCTCCAGAAGCCCCCACACCGTCTGCTGTGGAAACACAAGAGGGAAGGTCTGCTTGCTCAGCGTGAGGTCCTAGCACCCAGAAGGTTCATCACTGACCGGGAAGGGATGGAAGCACAGAGCGAACTGGTGAGAACTGGGCAAGCAGGTGTTCTAAATCAGAACACACTGCACGCTTATAACCTACTATTATACACAAACACTTTCAGTGCAAAGATCTTTGTTCCACAAAACTACTACACAGAAACCACATCTTAAAAACAACCTTATTTTTTAATGTTTTCATTGGCTTTAGAGAGAGGGAGAGAAACATCAATGAGGAGAATCATTGGTTGTCTGGCCCATTAGTAAGGATTTCCCCATTACTACGTGCTCATGGACACATCTCAGGATGCAGCTTAGGGACAAGCCTGATAAACCAGGAGATCCCATTAGGTGAGCCCCGATGACAGCGATCTACAATGATTCCTCCTTCGGAGGTCACCCTAGCGGCAGGACAGCCTTTCACTCTGGAGGCCTACATGCATGCCCCTTCAAAAACAAAAAGGCCCGCTGGTTCTGCTCGGTGGCTAGTGTTGTCCTGGGTTTGATTACAGTCAAGGGCACGTACCTCAGTTGCAGGATCAAACCCCAGCCTTAGTCAGGTCCCATGGGGAGAGGGGCAACCAACTGATGTGTTCTCTCTCACATCGATGTTTCTCCCCCTCCCTTCCACTCGCTCTAAAAATCAATGGAAAAGCATCCTCAGGTGAGGATAAAAACAAGAAACCACACCACAACCAAGCATGCCCTTCCTACCCAGCAACCTCAGACCTCCTCCGAGTTCCTCACTCTGCCCAGACACTATTCTCCCCAACAAACCCGATAAGGAGGGTCCTCTGGCCACATGGCTTTTCAAAACAGCTTTAGAACACTTGAGAACTTTGAAGGAAGAACAGAAAGGGAAAAACTAAGAAATAAGTACTTCTGGACTCCACAAGGCTTTCATACACGCATGTGAGGTCCCCCCTCTGCCAGAGACCATCCCTGCTTAGGAGGAAAGGGGGAAAGACCTGCAGCCAACCGGCCGCAATGGGAGCCGCAGGGGCGGGAGCTGGCAGGCTTGGTCCCGGGGGTGGCTAACACCTCCGGGCATGGGAACCACCGGCCGCCGGCACAGGCGGAACCTCAAGCACACTCCAGGAGGAGCCGGTCACCCGAGGCCCATCACAAAGCCACAGAAAGAACACTCCTCTCCAGAACTCAGTCTATGGAGGTCATCAGACCAAACACGGTAAAAGTCAACTTCTGCAAACAATCGCTATTCTGTATCTGTTTTGTGAAAAACCACAGAACTCACCAAGTGTTAGATGCTGTGATGCAGACAGTTCACATCACTCACAAGGCCAGACGAGAAAAAGGTCTGCAAGCGTGTTTGTGTGCGCGCGCACGCGTGTGTAAGGGACGTCGTGGACAGTGTGTGTGGTTATTCACACTGTGAACACTTGCAGAGTGAGCGCTGTGTCTGTGTGTGTGTGTGTGTAACGGGCGTCGGGGACAGCCCTGGTGCTTACACGGTTATTCACACACCGAACACTTGCAGGGTGAGCGCTGTGTCTGTGTGTGTGTGTGTGTAACGGGCGTCGGGGACAGCCCTGGTGCTTACACGGTTATTCACACACCGAACACTTGCAGGGTGAGCGCTCCGCCATGCCCTGAGAAGAGGCGCCCCGGGGAGCCTGGGAGGCTACCACCCCCCTTGCCCTTCCACCTGCCCGTCCCCTCGCCACTATACACTTTATGAAACCGGGTTTGCAATTATGTTTTCATCAACCGGAAAGGCCTTCCTTCCCCCAGTGATCCTCGAAGACACCATGTTCCCTGTCCTCAAACAAGCCCGACAGCAGCCCCTGCGGAGAAGGCTCACTCCCTGGGGTTCTGCCCCCCCCCCCCCGCCCCCGGCGGCCTGGGCGAGGGAAGCGGCCCCGGCCCCGCCTTTCCCGCGGCTCCGGGCACCCGCTCCGCCTCCTCCGGGGGGCCCCTGGCGGAGCCCGACCCGGGCGCCGGGTTCCCGGCCGCTCCCCCGCTGACCCACCGGCGCCGGCGGGGCTCCGTGCGCGAGGGAACCGGAACCCGCAAAACTTCCCTCCCCCCCTCCCTCCGCGGCGGCAGCGGGCAGCGGAGCATCCGCCCGGCAGCTCCTGCGAGACCCGGGCGGAGACCCGGGGGAGGGGGCCGCCGGGGCCGCGGAGGGCAGGCGCTCAGGCGCGGAGCCCGGGCTCGGACAGGCTCCGGCCGCGCGCGAGGGCCGCCGGGCGGGAAGGCAGGGCGGGGAGCGCCCCCCGGCCGCCCCGCGTCCTCCGCGGCCGGCCCCACGCGGCGCCTCCGTAAACACACCCGCCCCGCCCACGGGCGTCGGGGCCGCCCGGCCGGGCCCGCTCCCCGCGGCGGCAGCGCCAGTTCCGGAAACAAAGGCCCGGCGGCGGCCCCGCGCGCCCCGGGGCCCGGCCCGCGACGTCAACCTCCGCGGGGCCGCCGCGCGGGAACAAAGCGCCTCCTGACCTTCAGGCCGCGCCGGGGCGGGCGGAGCGGAGGGAACATCCGCCGCCGCCGCCCGGCCTCCCGGCGGCCCGCTCCCCGCCGCCGCTCCGGGCGCTCGGCCCCGCCCCAGCCGCCGCGGCCTCCCGAGGGCGGCCGGCCCGTCCCCCGGCCCCGAACCCCGGCCCCGCGCCGTTACCGCGCCAGGACGCGCGTCCGCACCTCACGCCTCCTGCGGCTGTAGCGGCGGCCGTGGCTTCGCCTGCTCCTGGGATAGCGCCGCCGTGGCCGCCAACAACGCCGCCTCCCATTGGACGAGCCCACGGGCCCCGCCCTCCACGAGGAAGGCGGGCTACGATTGGACTGTTCCGGCGCAAGTCAACTACGCCTCGGCGCCGGCGAAGACGACCAATCAGAGGCTGCGTCGCGCGAGACCCAGGAGCCATATGCAAATACAGGGCGCGACGCCGGCCGCGTTCCCTCGGCCCCCGGGCGCCTCCCCCCCGCGCCCTCCAGGCCGCTCCGCCTTGGCTCCGCCCCGGAATGCGCGCCCGGGCCCCGCCGAGCGCCTCCCACCCTGCGGCCGCGTGACTGGCCTCCCCCGGAACCCGCGGGCTCCCCGGCCCCGGGCCTCGCACGTGGAGTCACACCCCCTACCCCCCGCTCACCCCCTGCGCCCCCCGCTCACCCCCTGCGCCCTCCCGCTCTCCCCCTGAGCCCCCCCGTTCTCCCCCTGCGCCCCCCCGCTCCCCCTGAGCCCCCCGCTCACCCCCTACCCCCCGCTCTCCCCCTGCGCCCCCCGCTCACCCCTTACCCTCCACTCACCCCCTGCGCCCCCCGCTCATACCCCTCGCTCTCCCCCTGCTCCCCCCCATTCCCCCACGCCCCCCGCTCACCCCCTGCGCCCCCCGCTCACCCCCTGCGCCCCCCGCTCTCCCCCTGCGGCCCCCGTTCTCCCCCTGCGCCCCCCCCGCTGTCCCCCTGAGCCCCCCGTTCTCCCCAGACCGGGTCTTCGTGGCTTTGGTCCTTTTATTCAGAAACTCGTTTCTTCGCGTGGGGTGGCCTGGGAAGAGTTTCTACCGAATCCTGTGCCGTGGTGCCGGGGGGCATGAAGCGGGCGGAGGGCCCGCATCCGGGTGGCGGAGCCCCGGGGCGACCCCGCATCAGCGCCTTTGGGCGGCCGCACTGTTGGGGGGCTGCCGCCTGGGAATGCGATAACCTCGCTCCGCTATCAGCGCGGGTGGAGCGGGGGAGGAGACAGGACCAACAGAAAAGACAAAAGGAGCGTTTTCCGGTTCGGTTCGGAGGGCTTTCCTCCCGTTTAATGAAGTTTAACGAAGGCGCACGTTCCCCAGGGACCAGGCCCGCCCCGCCCCGTGGTGGGGAGGCAGGACGCTGGTCCTGGTGTGTGTGTGGGGGGGGGGGAGGCTGTGGTCCTGGGGCCTCCCTTGGGTCACTGCCTGAGCTGCTGGGAAGGCGAGTGTCGCCCAAAGCCTTTCCAGGGGAGAAGGCGCTGGGACGCCGTGTTGATTCCCACGGCCAAGGCCACGGGTAGGAAGCACAGGAGACGGGGCTCTCGCTCCAGGCCAGGATGAGTCCAGTTGGCGGGGGAGGGTCCCCCGGCCTCTCCCAGCGGCGGGGCTCCCGGTGCCTCAGGAGGCCACACCCCGGCGGTCTCGCCTTCACCCAGGACATCGGCAAAGACCCTCCTCAGTGCCCGCGCTCCGTGTCCCGTGAGCACTGCCCGAGCCCAGCCCCAGGGGTGTTGGGAGGTGGAGTATCTATTGAATACATCCCCGCGGACGAACCCCTCAGAGGAGCCCAGAGGCAGCCCCCAACGGCCCAGGCTCCCGCCCTCAGGGACGCTGCCTCTAGACCAGAGGTTCTGTCTGCCACGGGGGCGGCCGTGTCTCGGGAGCGAGGAAAACCCCACCCTGCTCTGCTCCAGAGGGTGAGCCTCCTGCCACGGTGCCAGCCGACCCCCTGGCCACCGGAGGCACTCTGTCCCAGTGGGCATCGCTGGCACCGGAGACGGGGTGCTCCCCTGAGAGCTGGGAGGGGCAGAGAGAACACTGGGGACCAGCCACAACGATGAGAAACATCAATCCTGCTCTGAGACCGGGGATGGCGCTGTTCCACTCAGAGGAAGCTCCTCCCGCTCTGGGACTGGAGGCCAGGTCGGACTGCAGCCCTTCCTCCTGCGAGAACTGCCTACCATCACAAGACTGCCACCTCGTGGCCAAAGCTACCTGGTCCCGGAGGCACCTGCACTTCACTACCCCAGCCCTGTGCCTGCAGTCTGGTCCCGGGGCGCCAGCACGTGTGTGATCCCCCCAGCCCGCATGCCTGTGCCCTGTAATGACCACCCTGTTCCGGTTCCCCGCCTGCGATTCCTACTTCCCACGTAATCCTGTCCTTCCGCCCCAAACATGCGGCTGGCGTGTGGGGGCAGAGATGTCTGTGGGTGACCTGCTGCTCTCCCTGCAGCGGCAGGATCGGAATAAACACTCGTACGATTCGACCCGTCTGCTGCATTGGCTGACGGAGTGACAGGCAGCCTGGACCCTCGACTGTCCGGTTAGAGCTGCCCGTGGCCCAGCTTTCAGGCCCGGGGCGGCCCGGCTCGGCCAGCACCCTCCACTGTCAGGATCCTGAGCCCCGTGAGCAAGGACAGGGACGGGGAGGTGGGGCCGCCCTGCACATGGAGTCCTCCCCCCAGCCAGGAAGGGCGCCCTGGGCAGAGGCCAGGGCCGCCGTGAGCCAGCCTGGGAGGCGGAGGTGGCAGAGGCCGAGGGGGACGGCTGCGACAGGCTGCAGTGCTGACTCATGGGAACCGGATGAGGCCTCGGGCCCCCCGCTGAGCCGGCGTTCCCTGCTCACAGCTCCCGTGCCCACACGCGAGGTCAGCAGGTCCCCTCTGCATGCTGGCGGGCTCCTGGGTGACCTGCTGAGCAGGCGGCGCGGCAGAGAGTGTGGGCCTCGCGGTGGGAAGACTTTATTTCGGCCGGAGCCACAGGCACAGCGCCGCGGGCACAACGCCAGCGGCCGGAGCCGGGGCCGGCCGCAGTCCCCACGGCCGCTGGGCAGAGAGGCGGGCAGAGGGCAGTGGCTGTGGGGACTGCACACCCCCGCCCGCTCAGGGGGCGCCCCCGCATGGGGCCATCTGCAGGTACTCGGCGTGCAGCTTCTGCTGGGCTTCGAAGAGCTTCCGCAGCTTCTTGGCCTGGCCCTTGCTCAGCTCCTTGCCCTCCGTGTCGTGTGTGGGCAGTCCCTGCGGCAGCACCGCGGTCAGCTGGGCACCCGGCCCACCGGCTCACCGGCTCCGTCCTTCCAGCAGCCCGCCCGCCCGCCCCCGGGGCACCTGCCGACAGCCACGCTCCGGGCCGGGCGCCGGCTCCCGGGATGCGGGGACACAGGGGCCGGCGGGAGGCCGAGGGGCCGTGAGGGGCCTGGCACGGCAGCACACCTGCCAGCTCGGGGACGGGCCCGATTCCCAGGCGGTCCCCTCGGCTCAGCCCCGGCACCTGGGCCCCGGGCGCCAGAGGACCCCCCCCCCCCCCCGGCTGCGCCCCAAACAAGACCCGCTCCCCAGGTGCCGTGCCTGCATCGCTGGCTGGGGACCCCGCTCTGGGGAGAAGTGGTTCTTACGTTTTCGTCAAACCTGGAGTACTTGTCGCCTTCGGACAAGAACATCTCGCTGGGCGGGATCTTCATCTTGGCCAGCCTGGCTGCCTGCAACAGACACGGGCCGCTGCACGGAGCCGCACGGAGCCACACGGAGCCGCGCGGGCCGCTGCACGGAGCCACACGGAGCCGCGCGGGCCGCTGCACGGAGCCGCACGGAGCCACGCGAGCCGCTGCACGGAGCCACACGGAGCCGCACGGAGCCACGCGAGCCGCTGCACGGAGCCGCAAGGAGCCGCACGGAGCCACGCGAGCCGCTGCACGGAGCCGCACGGAGCCACACGGAGCCGCGCGGGCCGCTCCCCGCCCTGCCCCAGCGCCGATGCTGCCGACAGGCGAGGGTCGAGGACAGCGAGGCCGTGCCTTTCTGGGGAGCAGTGGACCGCTCCAGCCTGGGGGGGTGCGGGACCGGGAGGGGCCGGGGGCGGAGGCACAGGGCTGAAGCCCCACAGGGAGCAGTACCTCTTGTTCTTGCTTCTTCCGGGCGGCCTCCTCCTTCTTCCTCCTCCGCTCCTCCTCCACCTGGGGCACAGGGCACGGTAACCAGGTCTGCCCCCGAGCCCCCCGAGCCCCCCGGAGCCCCGGTGTGGACGGCCTGCCCCGGGCATGGAGACGGCCACCGGGAGGAACGGGCTCCGGAGCCCCCCGGCCTGGCGGACTGCAGGCCTCGGGGTGCCCAGCCCTGCTCTGCACCAACACCACGCCGGCCGGAGGGTCCGGTCCGGAGGACAGCCGGGGTGGGGCGGGGTCCCTCATGGAGACCAGGGGCCGTGGGGCCTGTGACAGTTCTGGCACCGCTGTGTCCCGGCCACTCCCTCCGTGGGTCCCCAAGGCCCTCCAGGGGCCCGGCCTGGCTCCACCCTGGCCATGGGGGCATGGGTTCTTGGGGGGACGGTTGTACCGGTGACAAAGGAGACACCCCTCAGGCGGGAGCAGGTGTGGCTGAGCAGGTCGGCTCCACCATCTCCCAGGACGGCCTCCCTCCCGCCCGGAGCTGTCTGAGGCCCCTCGGAGGACATCTCTGTTGGTTAGCGAGTCGCCGGTCACCTATGCCAGCGTTCCGCTCCGACACATGTGAGGCCGGCGCGGCTCAGGGCTCAGAGTTCGATTCCCAGACAGGCACTGCCGGGTCGCAGGCTCGATCCCCATGGGGGCTGCAGGAGGCAGCCCGTCTCTGATGCTCCCCCATCACCGACGTGCCTGTGGCTCCCTCCCTCTCCCGTCCTCCCTGAGAGCAGTAGAACGTGAATCTTTAAAACTACAAACAGCTAAACCACCGCAGCTCCACTCACCCTCCGCTTCTCCTCTCTCTCTCTCAGGAGCGTTTCTCTGTCCACCAGCTTGACCACAGTCGGCAGGCCTGCAACCCAAGCGGCCGGAGAGCTGAGGCCTGGTGTCTGTCTGTCCTGCCCCACGGCCGCCCGCTCGCCACACCCCCCGCCCTGCCCCGAGGTCCCTGGGGAGAAGCCAGGTGGGCCCCTTGCTCGCCGCTCGGAACAGAAAACAGTCACGAAGCACAAGTCCCCTAAACCCGTGAGCCCTCACGCTGTCTCTGAGCCTCGCAGACGGCACGTGACACGCAGACGGCACGTGACACGCAGACAGCACACGCAGACGGCACGCGACACGCAGACAGCACACGCAGACGGCACGTGACAC